AAGAGGAATAACTGATATGAAAAGCTATGAATTTAGTACCGCATGCATGCGTTATTTCATCTGTTATCATATGTTTTATAATCACTTCAATATGTGCATTATAAATAAACATGAGAAACACATTCTTTTCATTTTTATTTAAAAGTTAGTGTGAATCTTGATGATTTTGAGCACATGGGCGTGTGAAAAAAGATAGTAGTCAGTCTGGTCTATAAACCTTGGGGGCGTTGCCCTACCAATTTTTTTTTGATGGGAGAGGGGTGAGGTCTTTTGTCCTACGTGTATATTTCACGGGGTGTTTGTCCACCATGTCATTTTTAGATGGGTGCCTTTTTCCGGGAAAGACTTTTGTCCTACACTCTTAAAATGGTGTTCTACCAACAGTTGATATTGATAAAATGTTTAGAATAAAATTTAAATGTGCTTAAAATATAAAGAAGACTACCCATTGAATATTACAGGTAATTTCTAATGATTATTTATTAAAAGTTCTTTTGGATCCATGCATTATTTACTGTTTATGCGAAGTAAATTATTAATTTTAAAGGAATTATAGCAAAATGAAAACTCATTTTGACTTTCACCTCTTCACTCACTTGATATCCTTGGGTGGGCATAATTCCACTGTAAATATACAGTAAATAGCCGTATATGCCACAATCATATTTGTCTGATTCCTTTCAATTTTTAATTATTCAAACGTGACATTGATCTTTAAATAACATTGACAGTCAGGGTCAAATGATTTGATGTTGCTCATGTATGACATATTCTTAGATAAAATGACACAATCGACATGGTGAATGATTCAAATACGACCTTGACCTTTGAGACATCAACGTCAAATTATTGCATTAAGCTTAATTAAATCATGATAAAATTTTATGTTCAAACTTGGACTTAACAGCAATTACATCAAACCCATTATGCTGAATAAATTAGATAAGACATTGTCCTTAATCAAAATGGTGTTGACAGTCAATGTCAAATTATTGAATTTTGCTTCGATGATGATGACTTGTTTTGTATTTGAGACAACACGGTTATGCTGAATAATAAAGATCAGACATTGACCTTAAATGTCCTTGAAAAAATACTAAAATCATGATGACTTTGTTATATATTAACTGTTTTGATTCATTCTTGGACAAAACAATCAACAACAAAAAACATAAATAACTACCTCAGTTTGACATTGACTGTTAATATGAAATTTTGATAAAATTATGTACAATATATGATGGGTTGTGTTTAATCCCAAACTAATTTTCCTCTGATAATTAGAAAAATGTCAAACGTGTGCCCTGCTCGGCGGTTTGTATGGGTCAATACCTATGTTAATATAATTAATTCAAGTACGATCTTTTTTTTCTAATCTTTTATTCATGACGGATACATAAAGAAAAAAACTAAAAAGGCGATAATGATACATGGTAAACCGGTTGTTGAAATATTCCGACATGTACATAGTGAAAAGGCTTAAATGTTTGAGTTTTTTAAATCTGCGGTGTCGTTATGAACCGCAGAAATAACAGAAATAAAGTTCCCGCAGAAAAAAGTACTAATAGTTACAGTATATGAAACGCGTATAACACTGGCAGGGGCGACATCAAGGGATGTTTCTGCTAAAAAAAATGTCGAGCGGAACAATTTTTTTTTTTTTTTGCAGAAGCATCCCGAGAAACCAGAACATTACGTGAGTTGCTCCTCTCCCATCCCCAGAGTACTAATAAACATGTATAATATACGTAGATTATATAATATTTATCATGAAGAAATTGCATAGTTATTCAAATTAAATCCATATTCCTGTTTTCGTTCATCCCTAGTTGTGTTTTATCTTTCAGGCCGGGGTGTTGGAGAGCGATTTTGAAGAACATTGCTGAGTTCTTATTTGTTGTAGTAGTATTTATTTATCAGGATTCTGACAGCGTCTCACAGACAAGTAAACTTTACAACAGGAACGGAAAGCAGGATGCTGAACTAGTTAACACAGGAAGCAATAACAATTTCCCTGACAGTTTTTTAAAGCTATCTGAGGGAGACCTTTGGTTACTTCTCCAAATATTTGCAAATTATTTCGTGATAGATGCAGGATCTAGGAGACAAGCAGTGAAACATTTCGAGATAAGGATACAGCCACGAATATATTTCGGGATATTAGGAGGATATTTCAGTGTGATAGCAGGATCTTATTCACCAGATTTAAACATTATAAAAACAGTCTGCGTACAACCACAGCCTCAACAACCAGATGCGCCACCACCTAGAGATCATCTAGATAACTAAACATTTAGTGTGTGAACCCTTATATGCGACTTGTTTAAGGAATAATATATCCAAAACAGGGATTTTATTGCTAAATAAAATCAGTTTGGAGTTCAAATGCCCAGCATTATATCACGAGGGATTAGCTGTTTTGGATATATTATTTCTTAAATAAAACAAACTTCATTCGAAAAATGCTGGTCGTGTTAGAATTTTACATTTTAAATACAATAACCACATATTCTCTAACAATATATTTGCCTGAAAAAATACACGTACATCTAGATTTTATATCAATTTCTTTAAAGTTTTAAATCATTAAAATTTTCAACAAAATAAAGCCAAATGCGGTAGCATTGATTAAGTTATAATCAGTCGTAATTTAAGTCTAATCGCCTGTCACATATGACACAACGGTACATGCAAACCTGGAAAGGTTAGTTGCTAGAAAAGTCATTGGAAGCATAATGTTATGTTCTGAAATTGTCATTCAAGAACTTCAAAAAACTAAATTTATTGATACCTTTAATTTTTTTCGGAATATATTTTTATATAAACAGCAATATGTAAAGTTTGTTGAGAAAGGTGAAAAAAGCATGTTTGTACCTTGTCTGTGACTGTCGTGAAACTGTCGTGAAAGGTTGGCTGTGTACATCGATTTCGCCACTTATTCTTTGAGAGAAAATCCTTGCTTCGAGGTAGTCGACAAAACTTTTGTCTGAAGTTTATTACCTTTAGCTTCATATTCTATCTTTGCGCATGCGTGTGTCATGGGATTAACTTATTATATTTGATACTTACCAGTATTTTACATTGCATATTTTCAATTACTTTTATACATGTATATATATTTAAAGGTTTGTATATGAATTTATAGGTTTGTGAAAATATTTGCATCTACAAATTAATACTTTAGCATATATACTTTTTATACTTTTATGAACGTTTATTTTATCTAAATATATATATTTTTATTTTGTGTATGTGATAAATAAAATATCATATTCGTGTAGATTCAATACTAATTTCTTGAACTTAATTGAATTTATTAATTAAAATTATTGAACCCATGCACACTCTTTCAATATCCTGTGTATAGTCACTCTCTGTGCTAGGGACTCACGCACCCTAGCATACTTTCCTCGTCGTCCCTGCCTACGCCTCTCGGCATAAGTCAGGAATTCCGCAGCTGGTCCGCAAGATACAAATTTCGGTAATCTTTATCGCCGTCCGAAGTTCTTCCAATCTTCTGCCGTGACCCACGGTCCGTGGGCATTGTGTTTGTTTTAAACTCGCTTATATATGTGCAGAAACTCGTGATCAAAATCAATAAATAATGTTATTGAATCACTAAAAGAAATAATTTCATAGGTATTAATAATTATGCATTTTTAGATCCAATTATAGTCGTCAATACCTGTCGATACGAATAAATTCTGCACGATTGCATGGATTGAAATAAGTTCTTTATAATCTCTGATGTAGTATTTGATTACCTATAGATGGGTACCAGTTTCACAAATGTAGTTGCAGAAACAGATGTGCTGTTCTCATGGTTCTTGCATATCAGCAACAGGCCTCGTTACCGTCCAATTTGCGGGTACCCTCAGTTTGGATTTTCCGATCTGCACCGCAACATTAATAGGTACACCTCGGCTCTTATTCATAATAACCTCGAACTAAATGCGGATTGAAAGTAGTTCTACCACGTGGTGTTAGATGAAAACAAAAACAGATCGTGTAATCTTTGAAAATGTATAACGACTACATGTATATCTTTGACATGCAAAGGAAAATATTCTTTTTTTTTTTTTTTGGTAAAATTATTATGTATAGGTTAGGGTGCAAATTGGGTGGTCTTCGTAAATAAGAAAGCTAAAAAGGAGCGGAGCTTGCGAAGAGACTGTAGCTTTCTTATTTACGAAGAACATTCAATATGCACTCTAACTGGCTTAGTGCTCCGCCCACTTGCGTTTTATAATATAAAACGTCCAGTTTATATAAAATCTGTTCTATTAAGATTTGAAACCTGAAAATTTGAAAAATCCTCGTCGGTGATTGGCTTAAAAAAATTGGCGAGCACTAATGTAAATCTGACAAACATAATCAAATTAAAAATGCCCACTGATGTAGAATTATAAACAAATCCGAATTAATGTCAACCTGTAGACATTTTGTACTTTTCGGTTTCTACAAACATAACAATAAGTTTACTAGTATCTATAACGAACTGTTTTCTATTATGTCTATAAATTTACATAATTAAGGTGGACTTTTACTAGGAAAAATCTTAGTCGCGGGACGAAAACACGCGATAGCACACATCCGCTACCATAGTCAACAGTTCAATGTTCAGTTTTCTTGACGTAGGTTAGTTCCATTCTGTGTTTTTTACTATAATTGTGTCCTTATCGATTCGATTGCCCCAACACTTGGCAGAGATATTATTATTTTTATTCTTTTGCAAACACCACTAGTTTTTGTAATGTTGATGCTTTCCATGAGAATGGGTCGCAAAATTGCCAATAGATACAACACGGCACTGGACTTAAAAAAGCCCTTCTTCGGGAGTAGTCGGTGAACCCCGAGTTGTAACGAATGCAACGCAGGAGCGGATAAGAATAAAGAAATCAACTTAATCATGATAAAAAAAAATTTGAACAATTGATTTATGAAGAATAGTTCCTCAAATTCAAAAAATGAATGTATGGCGATTATTTCCAACCATACTATTTGTTTCAGTAATTTTAAAAGATAAGAAATCTAATTACAACATTATGTCAAGTACACGTACAGTGTTTTCTACATTTAACATGTTTGGTCATACAACTGGATTAGTTCTACAACTATTACTATTTGTGGGTATGTATTGTATTATTCTTTATGAAAGAAGTTGAAGAGAAAAGAATATACAGTATTACATATTAAATTTAGTTAATTCCTGTTAAAGTGGTTTAATTAAGCTTAGTAAACAACCATTACATATCGTCCGACATCCATTGTCGACAAAGTTTATCTTTATGTAAACTATTTTTATATGTAGTTCCAATTATTGGACTATGTGGGGGAAATGGTTGTTTCCTGTGGAATATAGGTTATAGATGCATGCCTCCGTGCAAATAAGCAACAAAAAAATCAAGAAAATCAACTTTGATAAAATTTACTCATTTTTTAAGAAAAGTAAAAATATTGTATTTCACGATTCAAGTAATGATTTACATGTTATATGCAATGAATGACTGATTTTGCAGTATATTGCCATTATATTGTGTGGCTAGCGCAGTATAGGGGCTGTTTCTGCATATTTTGACCTTTATTTGGTAATTTACGTGGGCTCAAAGTGCCGTTTGAAACGAGTAAATTCTCTATTTATTTTTTGTTTACTTAACAAATTATTTACTATTGAAATGCATTTTTAAAACTTTTGATGAACATTAACATGAAACAGAAGACATGCTGCATCAGCACTTGAAGTCTTTTCCACAATCCCACCTTTAATTTATATTGTCATATTAAATGTGAGGGGGACAAATCTATAGCTAGCTTATAACAGGTCGTTGGTGTCCGCAAAAATAAAATAATTTCAACAATGGGGATCTTTGGGTTATCGCAGTTTTTTTTTTCTTTTTGTACAGTTGGTTATTGCCAGTACCCATTTCCTTCTCCATTGCCTTGTGACTCTGTTATACACGCGCCATGTCAACTGTATGGGCCTGGTGTAGTGTGTGGCAGTGACGGGACTGATTACTATAACAGGTTTATATATTAACATGTCTTCTTAATTAAAGTCGCCTCCGGAAACCAACTTCATCTCATCATCCAGGAAACTGCTGACTTATACTGGAGATCGGGGCAAAATGAAACACAGGTGTTACTTTCGTACACGGGAAAAAATTTCACCGTATATTGTGTATCTTGCAGTTACAATAGTAAAACTTTTTAAAGGATTTGAAAATCATAATATAATGCAATTCCTTATTAAAAATCAATGCAATGTGGTTTTTACACGTATTATCAAATTAACATCAGTGAACTATCATAACTTCATGATTTATTTGTTACAAACGGTGTATGGGGCAAAGTGATGGCAAACTGAAACAGTGTTTGACTTTGCCCCGACATAAAAACGTTGTTGACTGAAAATACGGGAGAATGGAGCTTTGCTGACATGAAAAATATAACCCACAGTTAACGTCTGGGGACATATTTATCTCATTCAGGCTATATTCTCCCGTATATTCCGTAACTTGTATAACTGATAGCATATCGTTTACAAGTTTCCATTCAGAATTTCCCGCCGACTATCGATATTATGGCCGGAAAAATCCCAACAAAAAAGTTGCTATTGCTTGGCAAAAATAACTCCGTCCGTTGGAGTTGGTATGGAAAGCCTTTGTTACAATTATTGTTGTTCTAGATAACATGGAAAAAAAACTATGCTATTTTCAGCCTGGTCTATAATAGAGTTACTAGTAATCAGAAACTGTACAAATAGAGAAAAAATAAAACAAGCACGCAATTTTATATAAAAAATGCCTGTATTTTAAAGCTCCTTACGTATATTCCATTTCTTTTATAAAGTTGTCTTCTGGCTCAAGCAGTGTGTGGAAACTCGGTAATATATTTCGTCGCTAATGGTACCTGCGCTTCAGCCGGTTACAGTAAGTTGTTCTAATATATGTATATTTTAAAATGTTAAGGGATTTAACTCACAACGAGAACTTTTTGACTATACCTCGTACATTGTTGGAGCAGAACCTCTAGACACTTGCATAAATCATGATCAAAAAGTAGGAAAATATCGCCTTTTTCTTACATTTTTCATTTATAATTATGGTGGCTGATTACTGCCATTTCGTGTTTTCGTCCTCAAAAGTCGAAGGCGACATGGGCGACGATAATGTGCTCACTAATCGTGTCTTCGCCTTCGAATTTTGAGGGCTCCGACACGGTGACACGATATAATTTAGACAAAATAACGATATTTCAATAGAAGACACGATTTTTCCTGCAGAATTATCGTGTTGCAAAATATTTCAAAAACCTCTACAATTTTCAACTTGCTGTTTTTGTTGTTGTTGTTTTAAGAAAACTGATTCAAAACTAAGCTAATGTAGATATTGACCAATCGTTAACAGCAAGGCCTTTCATTACAACTCGGCCAACAACAATGGACGTTAGAAAAACAACTGTCCTGGCATCAAAATCTACCAGCAAGGGTCCCCTCACGGTTATATGTAGCACTATAGCCAATGTCAGATGTGCCAGTGATATTGAACCGGTATGTGGTTCGGACGACAGGACGTACATCAACTAGTGAGCATTCGTTTTTGTTTGTTTGTTGTTGTTATTGTTGTTGTTTTGTTGTTGTTGGGGATGTCTTTTTTCGGGGAGGGGGGGGGGTGTTATATATTTTTCTATACAAAGAATCTTAATTTACATGTATTTATAAAAACTCTTATAAAGGTGATTGGTGTATAAAGAAAACCTTTAAAAAACATTTTTAGAGGCTTGAAAACAAATTTTCAATGTTGCACCATTTATATGTTTTAAACATACATATATCTTTATTTCATTTCACTTTGTAATTTATTTATCTTTTTTACTATTTTCAATGTATATAGTACATGACAAATCATTGCAGATTTGTCTTGTTTTATTTTCAGTTGTGAGTTTCATAAAGAAGTCTGCCAGCGACATGACCTGAAAGTGAAGCATGTTGGATTTTGCTGATTATATTTACAAATATGATTCGATCAGTTATCATTATATATGTTGGTTATAAGATTGATTCAGATTTTGATGTTTGCGTCGAATTAAAATGAATATTCTAAAAGCAAAATATCCATTACAGATCACTTTTAAAAACGTTTTAAAAATTCGATTTCGAAAACGAATTCTAGATTATTTGTTTTTGTGTTGTTTTACACCAATTTTACACATGCCATGGTCAGAACTGTTCACTAATTAGTGGAGAGATTGTAAGCGGCCGGACAGCTCATTTTTCTCACCCTGTGACATTTGGCGTCCAACATGAGACCGTGAATGGATATAGCTCATTTACATTGCTCTGTAACTCTGTGAAATTCCAGAACGAATTTCAATATAGCAAAGGGGTATGTCACGGTTCAGAACCGTTCACTAATTAGGGGAGAAGATGTGTAAGCGGCCGGATAGCTCAGTCGGTAGAGCCGCGGAACGGGGGTCCCAGGTTTGAGTCCCGGTCAGGCTGCACATTTTTTTCTCTGTGTGACACACATATTTCGTAAATCTTAACGGCTTTACTGGATCACTAATCAGATATTTTTTACCACTTTACCCGCAAGTGAAGGACTAACTACTAATCCCACATGATTTCAGCAATGAGTAGACTCAATGTCAGACGTTAGTAAGTTATCTCTGAGAAATTTAGCCATGTCCAAAGCAGTACCAGACCAGGACCATCGGGTTACTAATCTGATGCTCTCCCCTGTTTAGCTAAGCGAGCAGACATGACGATCTCTAAATGAAAATGGTATATAGAGTTTATGCATACATCTGGATTTTTGAACATGAACATTAGCACTTGCACTTTGTGTTTCTAGAAGGTGATTTTACAAAATATAATGAAAATGAACTTTGAGCGGTTGATACAATTAAAACAGTGTTTGTCAATAGTTTTTGAATAAAAAATAGTCAAAATACTGATGAGTATTAAGAGTATTAAAATTTAACAATTATATCTAAATGAAATCTAGCTTAGTCATCGTAATGCATATGAACATTGAAGAAGTAATCATAAGAAAGGAGATTTTAACTTCAAAGTGCATAAATTTAGCCAGAAGCCAGCACAGAAAAAAGCGCTACAATTGTTGAAAGCTGTCTGCTGATCATTAAAAGTTTTTTTTTATTCAAAACGATTTCACCGCATCGCTAATTTGGTCAATTGCCTGCATGTGGTAGTTCTAGTTTACAAGTTTATTTAATACTCACTTCATGAATAACATGATAATATGATCTATAACATATTTACTATAGAGGCATGTATATACCACGCATCTTAGACATATTTCGCATTTTCATACGAGGGAGAGACATTTTGTATTCCATATATTTTATATAAAATAACAATAATGTTACCAATATATGCTGTGTTATAGAGATCCCTCATAATGATCTAAAACTTTCGTTACTTCAATAATTGTTGTAAAAGCGTTAAACATGCGACAAAATTTTTATAACAAGGCACACATTGTGGCACACATCATCAGATTGCAACATTATCTGTTATCAAATTTTATAATAATTCCCTTAACAATTATACAAAAGTGCTTGCACTTATCATAATGCTTTGTATCTGTATTCATTACAGATTAAAAAAAAATATTTGTTTTCCGGTATGTTGGTGATATAATTACATGCCTTTTTCTTAGTACATTTACAGATAATGAAATTCATCACCAATGCTACCCATACATGTACATGCAATTACAAAGTGTGCACTTTCGCTGGTGATGTTTCGTTCCATATTCCAGCTTCCAGTTTCCACTGGTTTCTACTTTGAGCTGGGACAGAAGATATCTTCTGTCCCAGCTTAGAGTTGAATTATAAGAAAGTAAAACTAGTTAATAACTCATAATTTACACATGTAACCGAAAACTTTCAAATCATGAACTTATTTTTTACTGATTTTTATAGATCGAAATCTGGGACATCTCAGATCGAAATATAATATCATTCTCTAGAAATGGCTGTGTATCATCCGTAAAAATATTTTCAAAAATATATGTTCATAATTGAGAAAATGTACTTTACCTACTTCATTAAATTAGGCCTTATATCATATGATAATATATTATATTATGAAACGTACATCTGGACGGATTGATGAAGTGCTTAGTGATACAGTCATGCAAAAAACTGTACAGTAGTTAATTGTATTTATAAGAATAAGACACGGTAAAATAACCCTTCAAATATTGTAACCTTAATGTGAAACCATGTTATTTGGAATAGTGGTAAACATAAAAAATATTGTCGATCCCATCTGTTCTAAACAATTCTATTCGCATTTAAATGTAATTAAGATCTCGCAATGAACGAGATGTATAACTTGCGAGATTTGAGTCAGAAGAAAGAGTAAAGCAACAAAAGTACAAAACAATGAACTATATACTAGTTTAATGATTGTAAGTTTGAATACAATCCACAATTTCTTTTGAATACTTTTCTCATTTAAATTTTTACATAAAGAATAGACCTAATTATACTGAAACTAGACACGAATTTGCTGCTGCTCGTTCGATGTCCGCCATCTTCATAATTTTTAGCAGATTTTATCCAAAACATGATGTGTTTTGACCATATTTGAAAAGTCATTGTTAAAAATAGTTAACCCAGTGAAGTCGAAATAATCAAATGTGTTTAAGCGGAAATTATTTTCTGAAATATATTTGAGTAATACTTGCCAAAATACTGTTGATTTATAACATAGTTTGGACATCTCCATCATCGATGTAAGCATGTTTGTCTCTGAATATGAGCCGTTTGAATTCTTACAGATCTAGATCTATTCTAAATTACTTTCAGTTTTTTTTTCACAGGTTGGGGAAGCAGCCCTGCCCTTAATTTTTGGGGAAAACTACACGGTATATTTGCAAAAGGGGAAGAAAAAACTTGATGTTAATTCAATTTTGGGGAATACTGTATGATTTTAAAGAATTTTTCTTTGGGTATGCAGCCCTATAACAAACCCTGCTATTGAAGGAAAGAAAGCCGTGACTTTCGTCTAAAACTTGAAAGGTATAATATGAAAGGTACTCTACCAGGGCAGGTAAAATATCTTGTACGAGATGTCAAAGTTGTATACTCGGTTCCTATGATATCACGGGTTCTATGGTATTTACATGATTTCGAGTCATTTCGGCCCCAAGACGTATCGACCCTAAATTACTCGGCCCTTGTCGTTTCGGCCCTTTACCAAATCGGCCCCATATTTAGTTAAGAATAAGTCTTACCTTAACGTGGTCAGGGCCAAAAAAACCCTTCTTTGTAGAGGTTGAATATAGGCTGCTTTCCTAACCAAAATAGCCTCTTTTTTTCTCCAGTTTGGTCCTCAAAATTTCCCAGTCTTTTGAAATTTCCCATAGAATTTAGAACAAAATTAAATGATGGTGTTGAATTAAGGTCTTTTACTGCCTTATTAGTTTTTCCCAGTGCTTTTTGCTTTTCTATTTTGAGACCCCTTTTCCCAAAGTATGCCAAAATCACGCATATTTGCCCCAAGAAAAAGGCTGAGGCCCATTCCCCAAAAATGGTGTTTTGGCCCTGTATAAGATCCTAAGGCTGTTTCACAGTTTTATTGTGATATTTCAGACAATTTAAACTGTTTGGCCTTTGCCTAACATAACCCCATAGGTCAGGAAAATTTTGGGTTTTGTGTTTGTTCTCTATTTGCTTCTTGCTGGTAATAATTCTTATTTTGGTAATTTCACATTAGTAAGTAGGTCTTAGTACTTATAATAAATTTAATGCAATGCACCAAAAAAGTACAAAAATAACCCTTGTTTACCCTTTTATTTGTAGTTAATAACTTATAATTATACCTTATAAATATATTTTTCAGGTTCTAAAATGGAGATTCTCTACAGATAAGTGTCTCTAGGCATTTTGAAGCAAATAAGTTTGCAGAAAAGTTCTTAAGATTGTTTTATTTAAAAGTACTAACCACATAAACTGTATAAAAATGGCGAGTCGATCACAAAACCCGCATGGATTGAAGCAGATCGGATTAGATCAGATATGGGATGATTTAAAGGCCGGCATCAACACGGTGTATAGAAGACAAAGTATGGATAAAGTGAGATACATGAAACTGTATACGTATCCTTTCACAGGGCTCTCGATTGACACGGGGATCCGGGTTTTGACTCGTGAAAATCGGGAAATGCACAAAATTGACACGTGATAAAATCTGCTCAAGAGTCAATTTGCCACATGGGATTTTCAGCTATGCAATAATAATTACCTTTAATCCACCCTAATTACCTATCAAATCCTACATATGTTCAAATCTCACTCATTAAAAATGTCAACAGGCAGTATAAGCCGTGTATAAAATGCTTAACACACTGCATTGTTTATACCCTGTGCATTGAAGCGTGACAATTCAGTGGCTGCAATTTGACAGTGCTAAAAATAGCTCTACACAACTGATAAGATTTACATACTTGAGGTGTCAATTATTGATTGCTTTTAAAGTTTTATAATACGTCTTTGATTTACTTGGAGTACCTGTGCATTTGTTATTTCTTTTTCCATTAAATATTCCAAGGTATTTTGGTATTTAAAATTAATATGATATAGCATACCAGTTAAGATAATTTTTTCCTATTTTTTACATTTAATCAGAAAAGCTGCTGCTTATTTTATTCTTTCACAGCAATTCATTTTTTTGTTTTATTTGTTTTTTTAGGGGGGGGGGAGGTATAGACATTTATAATTATGGATTTTCTCTGTCAATTTAGACTTTGGAATCTCCAAAAATGACCTCCAATACAGTCAATTTTGTAACATAAAAATGATTCATGTAGTCAAATGACACTTAACAAAAAAATGATTTGACTCATGAAAATTTTGGCCAAAGAGTCTTTGACTCGTGAAATTCTGACCCTACTGAGAGCCCTGCTTTCAGTTAATCCTATTGTAATATCTCTGCTCTCAGTTGCTAATTGCTTTACATTTTCACTTCTGTTAATGATAAAAGCATTTATCTTCTTAAATGTGTTGTTTCAACTTGAAACTTTACTTCCCATTGCACCAGCCAACATGTATTTCTTCCTTAGCATGTTAGTGAAATTTATGTAAACTTTTAAACTTTGCAACTGATATTTGCAGTAGTTAAATATAAGGGAGATGTGATATAATGGGTTATTATAAAAATTAATTTATATTAAAGTAAAAGGTTAGTATATGATAAGCTTGATCATCAACTTTACTTAGGTTTTTGGGGTAGATTTGGCTATGTACTGGTATGCCCTTGTATTTATTTACACAATCATTTAGTGATCAACAGTGACGTAATAGTACTCTATCCAACAGCAACATCTTACCACAGTGGCTTGTTTTTCTAGTCTTTTGTAAATCTTAAATTATTATTAAAATGATAAGCCGATGATTTTACTTTTCTCTGTTAGTTTCTTACAATCAAAATGTTGGTAATTAGTAAATATAATGAATTATTATTTATTTAATATACATGTGCAAGATTAAAAATGTCTTTGAAAAATCATTAATGTTGAATGATTAAACAGAAAAAGTTTTGAAACCCTTAACCATTGATAAGACATGTGTACAATTATTGTACAAGTGTACATCAATCTGGTCAAGGGGGTGGAGCACAGGCTGGTGGGCGTGGCACCCTTGGGAAAAAGAGTAAACAACCAACAGGTGGCGCTCAGTTTGTTGGTCTGGAATTGTACAAAAGATTGAAAGACTATTTGAAGAAGTATCTTCTAGATTTACAAGAGGTAAGTTCAGAATGTTTTCTGTGAATCTAATGCTGTATTGTAAAAATTTCATTCAGATGATCATGGCACATGGGGTTCTGTCCAAAAAAGTGTTTAGTCCTCGAAAGATTTTGAAAATACTTAGCGCAAATGTTCACCAGCAGGAGGAGATGATGTGTCAGATGCAGCACAAATGTTCATTAGATAAAGATATATGAAATTGCAGTATCTTGGGTGCAAGACCCTGGTCTAGTGTCAAAGATCACAATGACAACATTTTGAGTCTTTTTAATCAGGTTTAATTTTGGGAAGCATGTGTGACTTTGAGTGATGTATATTGTTTATTTCTGCTAAGATCAAAATCAAAGTATTTAGTAAACAGTCTTGTAGGTATTATTAACTTACTCAGTGCTTTATTTTATACTGAGTATTAAATATATATTTTTGTTAAATAAATCTTTTAAGATATTTCTATTCAGGAAATAAATCTTGGTTGTATTTATTAGTTTATTGTACTTATAATACAAATCAATATGCTTTGTACATTTTGTCAGAATGGGCATGACCTATTAGATGAGCAAGTGCTAAGTTTTTACACAAAACAATGGGAGGAATATCAGTTCTCAAGTAAAGTGCTGAATGGTATTTGTGCTTACCTGAACAGACATTGGGTACGCCGTGAATGTGATGAGGGAACAAAGGGAATCTACGAGATCTACTCAGTTAGTACTATTATCTTGACCCTTAACCTGCTGGAACTGAATTTGATTGGCCTATGCCCCCCAGTATAAAGACAGGCTAGTCTGCAGATTCATGTAGTCTGACCAGGCTTAATACTGGTTGGTAGCTAAATTTTTGTACTTTGATAGTTATCCATAAAACTTAAAATACACTGATCCTTATTCAGAGGTGGACAAATCTATTTAACAATTTCAGCAGGTGCAATTCTTGTGCCATAAATTGTATAAATTGTGAGAATTTGCTAGTGAGTGGTTATTATCACTAACATCAGCATCTTTTTACTGTTCAAGTTGAACTGTTAATCAAGAATGATAAGGCATGTGATTTGTTATAAAACTATCATTATACCCTTTAAAACCTACAGGTGACTAAAAGTAAGAAAAAATGAATTAAAGGTATAGCTTGACTTTAGGAAAGCTTGTGTTTAGTTTGGCTTCATTGTTTATTCAGTGTTTAATTCATCATATCATGAAAAATGATAAATTCCTTACATCTCTTTTCATTTCAGCTTGCCCTGATTACATGGCGAGATTGTCTGTTTAAGCCATTGAATAAACAAGTCACAAATGCTGTACTTAAATTGATAGAACGAGAAAGAAATGGTGAAACAATCAACACAAGACTGGTCAGTGGAGTCATTAACTGTTATGGTAAGCCAATAGAGGCTCAATTGAAGTAACATAAGAGATAAAAATTTGGTCTATGTCACCATAATAATGCTTAACCAGGCCTGTATGTTTTGTACAGGTGGAATGGATGCCAAAGCTGTTAGGTCCTCAGTTTGAGTATTCAGATCTCTATAATTCCATATACAAAAGTTTAAACCATCAGGGCCTCTTTCATCTGTTTCGAAAAAAGGTCCCTGGCATAAATTTAGCTTTTGGGGAAATTTGATAATGTGAAAAAATATCTTATATATTATATATTATGACTTCTGTGGTTTTTGACATGTTTATGATGATAAAACTTGTCACGTCTTTTAAGAAACAAGTCAAAACAGTTCAATGCTTCTCAAAATTAAATAATCATAATTAAAATCAGCTTCAACTTAGGCTGCTGATAGGAATGTTTTGTTTTGAAATTTAGAATATATATATTGGGAATTATTTATTTGGAATGGGACCTTTAATCGACCTCCGATGATGGGATGAAAATGCCCTTTTCCATAGAAATTGATTAATTGAAATCATTGACCAAAGGACTTCTTACCTTCTTTTTTTTTCAGTAATTAAAATTGATTGATGTAATTAACTTAATACTTAGATCTTTAGGTCTTGGGTTTGCATTTAAATAAGTTCATAAGAAAACAGTTTATATATGTATGTATGATACATTTTACAGTTGAGCTAGGTTTGAATGAGGATGATCCATCAGCCAAAGGTCCAACATTGAGTGTGTACAAGGAACATTTTGAGACACCCTTCTTGGAAGATACAGAGAGGTTCTACAAGCTGGAGAGTACAGAATTTCTTAGACAAAATCCAGTCACAGAATACATGAAAAAGGTGGGAATTTTTGTGGAGATATTTCTATTATAATGTCTTTGTGTCAGATGGCAGAAAGTGACACATGCTTCCAGAGGAGTAAAATAATAAAATCTGCAATAAAATCAAGCTAAATATTTATACATGTACTGGTAGTTAAAGAAAATTTAAGTATATACAGGGGAAACTTTGTTCAATATTTTTATCTACAAATTAAATATTTTTAACACCAAATTACTACTCACACCAAATTGCTACTCAGTTACAAAGTAAGGCAAATTATTCTTTTTCAATTAATAGTTTTTTGCTGTTGGTAACTATTGTTCCTTCGAGGTATAATAGGGGGATAAATATATGCTATAGATTGAATTGATTAACTTCATTTATAGTTAATAAAAACAAAGATATGATTGGATATTTCAGGCAGAGGCAAGGTTAATGGAGGAACAGAAAAGGGTACAGTTGTATTTACACGAGAGTACACACGATATTCTGGCGAGGAAAAATTTAGAAGCCCCATAGAAATCTAGAAAAATTTTCCATTAAGAAAAGAAGTCCTTCATAGAGAAAAATGGGAGTAAATGAATGATATTCCATTTTTATGAATTCCATTGAAAATCTTTTAGATTCAAAATATTAAGATGATGGTGAGTGAAATGAATGATTTCCATGTAAAATCTTCAATTTTTTAAAAATTTTTTATAATTATTCCTTTTTCAAATAGGAAAATGTAAATTGTTTAAACATTAAAAATATGGGTTTTATGGTTTTTCTGGGCAAAATTTTGGATTTTGATTAAATGGGCTTTTTCTCCCCTTTGATTAGAAATTTTTTTGGGGTATTTTAAAGTGTCAAACCCCGGGGAAATTGGTAAATTTTTTTTTTAGGTTTTCCAAGAAGCCAAATTTGAAAAACGAAAATGAAAAACAAAAAGAAACCCCTTTTTTGGTTTTTTTTATTTCTTTCAAAATTTTCCTTAAATTTGAATTAAAAATACCTTAATTTTTTACAAAAGGGAAATTATGGAAAATTAAAAAAATGTTTTTGGGTTTAATTTTTTTGGGGTAGTTATATTTTAGATTTAAAAAAATTTTTAGTTTAAAAAAAAAATAAAAAAATAAAATTTTTGTTTCAGATTTTGGGGATGTACCGTTTTGTATCAAGGTACAAGATGGGTTAGGAGAATTAAAAACACTTCTAGAGACACATATATATAACCAGGGTCAAGCAGCAATAGAAAAATGTGGGGAATCAGCTCTTAATGTAAGTATATTATGCTAGCTAATGTAGAGAAATTTCAAATTTAATTTCTAATTGTGAGGTTTTCAGGTATAATTTTAGATAGATGTATTAGATTTGTTATTTAGAGACTACACTACTTAACAATGCTTTCACATTTGTGGGATCATTTTTACATTGTGACTTATGTTAGATGCCTTTTTTCAAAACATTTTATTTATTCACACAAAAGTCTTTCATAAATGTATTTTCCAGCAATGAGTTATGCTGACAATGTAACATCCTCAGTCAATGTTAAATGTCATCAGTAATCTATTGTCTTAGACAATTGTTATTTTGATATTCAAGTTAATAAGAGTCATATGCATGTCCCTTTTTTGATATCTCAATTTGAACCTTTATATAATATAAACATTTTATTATTTAGGTAAAGAATCATACTTTGATATTTATAAAGTAGTGACTCTACAATATCATGTAATTATTTCAGGATCCTAAGATATTAAAGACATCTTGGGTTATAAGAAAAACAGCGGTGATGAAGCTTTAGAAGACCAGGATTTGTGGGGCTTTAGACAAAGGGAAAGCATCAAATTTAATATATTTTTAACCTTCTTCATAAATTTTTTGGGGCTTTTTTTTCCTATTAATTGACTGTTTTTAATAGTCAGGAAAAATAATAATGAAAATATAATTGATTGAAACAAAAAGTTTGGTCAGACAGCAGGATGAACGGGTTTTCTTGCTCTCTTTTTGCTAATTGGGTTGTTTTTAAGTGTTTCATCGGGGCCACTTTTACCAAAAGGGTTAACCTGTATAAAGGGCGTATGAGTTATCAAATAAAAAAAAAAATTTAAATTTTTTCATTCTTTGAGATGTGATATGTCATATAAAACTCTTTAAAAAAATTGAGGCCAGAAAAAGAAATTGGTCAAACTGCAACAGATTTTCAGGTTGGCATTATACTGAAATCGTTAAATATGCCTGACTTTCTCACCACTAGCTTTTAGACAGGAATTAGTAACTTATGTTGTATAGATTAATTAATAAATTCTGAGTTTCTATTTTGGATTTATTAACACTGATGTCAAATAATGATGCGAGATGGTAGTGAAATGTATTCCTCAGCCACTTTGGTACCACCAAAGCTATATGTCCACCATAACCTTTATTTGATGGTCATTCAATAATCTTTCATTATCTAACTAATTCATGCATTTAGGTTTAGTTAATAAAGGAAAATGCATATCTTTTGAAAATACTGGTCAGGACAAATGGATATTTATATTTGTAGAACCATTTCACATTTATCCCTAACTGTGCAGTCTAGTGATATACAGGAAAAAATCAGTTTGATGAAACATGTATTTGTTATATTTCAGGCGTGTGGAAGGTTTATCAATAACAATTCTGTGACCAAACTAGCAAACTCTTCAAGTAAATCACCCGAGTTGTTAGCAAGATACTGTGATCTTCTCTTAAAGAAAAGGTAAAAGCTTTCACAATTAACCTAGCTATCTAGTGAATTTGAATATCCTCTCTAGTGTTATGTTTTCCAAGTTGTTAAAGATTATCCAGAAGTATAAATTCTATTGAAGGGAAAGAAGGCGATGTCATTATTCTAGTGAAATAGGTATGAGGCTAAAAGGTTTGTCCTATTATCAAAAATGAATATTTGCTATTTTTATCTTGCTTGCAGTTCAAAGAACCCTGAGGAAGCGGAACTAGAAGATACACTTAATCAAGTGGTAAGTTTGTACACTTCTTTCTTTCATAACCAAAAGTAAAAAAAAAATATCTTTAAAAAATCCTGTTTACCTAAAAATCTTCATAGCAAGTATATGAATTGACATTGCCATGTAACATTTTCTTTAGTAAATAAAGTAATAATCTCAAGTAAAGAATTCTAAAAAAATGACATTGCCAGTGACATTCTGCAGGAAGTTAATTTATAATGTGAAGTAAAAGAAAAATCAATAATTTACTTTACTTTAGCTTCATGCTAAAGTAATAGAAGAAAAATGATCACTGTTACCAACATAACAGTTATAAATGTCGTGAGTAATACACTGTGATTACTGATGATTTATGTATGTTATAACAGATGGTGGCGTTCAAGTATATAGAAGATAAAGATGTGTTCCAGAAGTTCTACAGTAAAATGCTGGCAAAACGTCTTGTTGGTCATATGTCAGCCAGCGACGATGCTGAAGCCAGTATGATCTCAAAACTTAAGGTATGTTCACTGAATGTGTTTACGTTACATTAAACAGTATGACTATATTTATTAGCTTAACTTAAGTCTTTATACAAGTCTTTAACATGTACATGTACTTTTACTTAAAATTCCTGTAAGAACCAGACTCGTCAATATCTTGACTCCTGAATATAGTCAAGCACTATCAAGTACCGAAAACAGTCAAGGATTATCAAGCACCAAGCACAGTGTCTGTCAGGCAGTTCCTATTTAAACAAAATGCCGCCCCTTATTCCTCACTGTGTGAAGTAAATTTGTTTTATGCATCAAGCGTGCCTATTCGAGGAAGGTAAGTGGTTCTATACTTTACTGACTTTATTCTCCAAAAAAATGGAAAGTCGCAATATGAATTATGACAGTGTTGGGTTTGGGGGATGCTTGACAAGTTCTACTATGGCTTCTTTGTAATGCCATGATCTAGCATAAATGCCATGGAATGTCATGAAAATATACAATTCACAGTTAACATGTACAGGCAGTTACTGGATAACTGCTGACTCTGAAATGTAACAGAATGACAGTTTCATATCTAAAGAAAAAAAAAATTTGTAGGCTTTTGATAACTTTTAAGGTATGTAAAAGTTTTGTTTTTCTATTTACAGCAAGCGTGTGGTTTTGAGTACACATCTAAGTTACAGAGAATGTTCCAGGATATAAGTGTAAGCAAGGAGTTGAATGATTCCTTCAAGACACATCTAGCACAGTCAGGGGAACCTTTAGATGGTATGTCAACTTTTCTGCTTATTCCCCATCTACTGCCATCTAGTAATCAATAATTACTCTTCCGTGTGAAGTTTCGTGAAATATACCTTTTTACATTGTCAGTCTGTCTGTACACCAGGCCTTGTTCGAACAGTAAATGCAGAATGATTTTGCTGTGTGGATGTGGATCAATATTACTAGATGACCTCTTGTGATTTTGAGGTCTGTGTGTCCATGCTCAAGGTTGATTGAGACCTTGACCACCAAAGGTTGTTAGACAAACCACTAGAGAACAGTCTGCAGGCTTAAGATTTTATGGGAAGTTGGTAATACCTTGCAATTGATGCCTTTCTTTTGATGTAAGACATTTTTGATACAGATAATGCAAAATTCATGCACTGTTTAAAAGTTTTTAAAATGTTTTATATTTTTTCCATATTTATTACTATTAGTTTGTCTAACATTTAGATTATTGCTTTAAAACATATAAGTCATATAACTTTATCAATACTAATAGTGATGTTTTCTTATATTTCAGTTGATTTCAGTATCCAAGTATTAAGTTCAGGTTCATGGCCTTTCCAGCAGTCATGTCCATTTTCACTGCCTCAAGAGGTAAGCTTTTAACCACTGCATTATTAAATGATCTAAAACTGATAGTGGTTACGAATGAAATTTAAATTTAATTTAATTCATAAACTTGAGTACCTTTGTAAATTTCCAGGAAATCTAGAAACTTATGCATGAAGTCATTGCTTAAAAACTTTTTTAAATATCAGTAGAGACCGCCTCTGTGGTCCAGGGGTTAGAGTAGATGACTTCTAATCCAGTTACCTCTGTGGCTTGGGTTCGATCCCCAGGAGATGCTTTGGTAGTTTAGCGCGGAGGAAGGTAGTCTAGTACTGGTGTAACTCTCTAGGAACAATAGTTAGTAAACTGCCTGCCTATATGACTGAAATACTGTCGGAAAAAGGCGTAAAATGAAACAAACAAAATGTCAGTAGAATGTTTTGTTACTGATCAGTATGAGGAAAACGGAATACAAACTTCAGTAAAATAAACATTCTATTGAATTTTTTATTCTGTTTTACTTAAAATAATCTTGCATATTTAATAAGTGAGTCAAACTTTTGTTAAAATCCTTTAGTAAAATGACCATAAGATGATCAACACAGTGATTGTATACTTTCTGAAATTTATATAAAGCCAGGTAAACAGTGTAGACCAAGATCATTTAACATATCTTGGGCTTGGTGTGAAAGGGTTGTAACTCATATTGAATAAAGAAGGAGTTACAACCCTTACATGCCAAGCTGTTGATTATTATTTATGTGTGCTGTCTGATCATGATCTGCATTGTTTGCTATTCAGTTCATACTTATTTTAAAATTTTCGCTAAAATGATGAATTGTTTTGTTCAGACTAATAAATGGACAAGTCCATTTAAAATATTTAGCATGGTATGTGTTAAAAGTTGTATTGATGAATGTTATATTTATACAGCTGGAGAGAAGCTACCAACGGTTTACAGCATTCTATAATAACCGACACAGTGGTCGTAAATTAGGCTGGCTTTATCAGATGTCAAAGGGAGAAATTGTCACTAACTGCTTTAAAAACAGATACACATTACAGGTAATATCTTGAAATCCCTGTTTAATCTTTACCTGTCTTACTTGTCAAATATAAATTCTGAAATTTTCGATTTTGCTCATCTATTTGGTCCAACATTTCAAATGGCTATATTTTTGCAATACAACAGTAAAAACACATTTTCTTATTGTGTGTGTTTATTTTAGGTGTTAACATTTCAATTGGTCATATTGTTGCAATACAACACGACATATTCTTATATAATGATTGTTTATTTCAGGCGTCAACGTTTCAAATGGCTATATTGTTGCAATACAACACAACAGATTCTCATACAGTCTCATCACTACAGGAAAATACGCAGATCAAAATGGTATATTATGGTAGCTTGACTATTCGAAGAATATGAGAGCTATTGTAGTCGCGTCCGCGTCGGCGTCTGCGTTGGTTAAAGTTTTTTGTAAAGTCAAATATCTCAATCATTACTTGAGATATTCAATTGAAACTTACAATACTTATTTATAGTAACAAGGTACATCAGATTGACAAGTTGGATAACTCTGCCTACAATATTGACAGAATTATGCCCCTTTTTAACTTCGAAATTTTGGTTAAAGTTTTTTGTAAAGTCAAATATCTCAATAATTACTTGAGATATTCAATTGAAACTTACAATACTTATTTATAGTAACAAGGTACATCAGATTGACAAGTTGGATAACTCTGTCTACAATATTGACAGAATTATGCCCCTTTGGAACTTAGAAATTTTGGTCAAAGTTTTTTTGTAAAGTCAAATATCTCAATTATTGCTTGAGATATTCAATTGAAATTTACAATACTTATTTATAGTAACAAGGTACTTCAGATTGACAAGTTGGATAACTCTGCCTACAATATTGACAGAATTATGCCCCTTTTTAACTTTAGAAATTTTGGTTAAAGTTTTTTGTAAAGTCAAAAATATCTCAATTATTGCTTGAGATATTCAATTGAAACTTACAATATTATTTATAGTAACAAAGGGTACATCAGATTGACAAGTTGGATAACTCTGCTACAATATTGACAGAATTATGCCCCTTTGGAACTTAGAAATTTTGGTCAAAGTTTTTTGTAAAAGTCAAATATCTCAATTATTGCTTGAGATATTCAATTGAAAATTTTAAAATACTTTTTTTTATAGTAACAATGTAATCAGTTTGCAAAATTGCATAACTCTGCCTGCAAAATTTGAAGAATTATTTGCCCCTTTGAAACTTAGAAAATTTTTGGTTAAAGGTTAAAGGTCTTCAAAGATTATTTACTTGAACTTTACACATGCACTTAGGGTCATAATTGGAGTGTCATAATTGTATGTCACTGACCAAGTTCCATAACTCTATCTTGCATTAAGGCTTGATTCATATCCCCTTTTCTACTTAGTCTCTTTGGTTAATGTTTACATGCAAGTTTTACATATCTCAATAACTATTAAAGATATTTATTTAAAACTTCACAATGCATTTAGGTCATAATTGTTAGTCACTGACAAAGATCCATAATTCTATCTTGCATTTAGGCTGATTTTTTCTCCCCTTTTCAATCTTAGAAATCATGTAAAAGTTTGCTTGTTAGCTGTTATCTCAATTACTACTGAAGGGTTTGATGCCTTTTTTTGGGACAATTTTATGCATTCATAATAATAAAGCAGTGATTTACTTGATAAAAAACATCTTAATTAGAAGCCTTTTTACCTTTTCTGTCAAATTTATGTGTTTCATAAGTAATTAGTATTATTATACTCAATAAAACAACCTTGTGACATTACCTTCCGAATAGTCAAGCCAATACTGTATAATTAGACTCTCTCTAAGGCCTATAACATGAATTTATTAAAAAAAAATTAGACCTTTTGTGATCTTAAAAAATTTAACATTATCAAGACTCTTTTACTATCAAGCACTTAGAATAGTCGAGCGTGCTGTCCTACCAACAGCTCTTGTTGATTACAAAATAAATAGCATGGGTTGGAGTGGTCTTTTACTGAAATTTTTTACCTTACCTATTTTCTGAAAGCAATTACGGCTGTGGTATGCTACTTTCTTGTCATCATGTCTGTACATGAGAATCCGTGCTCAACTGTATATATATCATCAATAAATGTTGAGCATAAATTTTAATTCAAATCTAAAGGCATAGAGTTTTCGCACTTTTACATGTATATGACAGTCTTTGATACTGACTCTGTGTATAGTGTACAATTATAAGAATGTTAAAACAATTCTTGAGTCCTAAACATTTCTAAATTCAGACATATCTCTAAACATTTTACATGTTTTCTTAAAATAAATCTAGAGTTGATCTAAATATTGATCTGCTGCCGATTGTTATTCTTTCATTTTCTGCAAAGTGATATGGGTTATCTGCTACCATTTTCTATATAATCACAATTATTAGCGAGTTTCTGTTGTTACATCATGATTACTGATGGTTTTATGCCTCTGTTCAGAATAAAATCAAGTAGGTGTGTAGATAATAATGAATTTATTTTTCTATGGAAACAAGAGGAGTGATTGAATGTGATGATTTATTTTACAGGACACATTGACACAGGTGTTACAGATCTTGCTGAAATCCAAACTTCTGATTACAGAAGATGACGAGAATGATCTGCAGCCTTCTTCACAATTGGCCCTCTTCCTGGGATATAAAAAGTAAGCTGTTAATTTTAAAGTAACCCAAATGGACAAAAAGTAACCCAAATGTTCGAAAAGTAATTATCAAAAAGTAACCCAAATGACTGTAAAAAAGCCAAATTTCCATAAAGTAATTCAAATGATCATGAAGTAAATTGTTGAAATTACATGAAAAATATCCAAATTGGTGACCATAAAGTAATGAGTAATCCAATAACTTTAAATTTAGCCAAATTTCCATGACCATAAAGTAACTTGCGGAAATTGAATGAAAATGTTAAACATGCAGATATTATAATAAGTTGGAGGGTACTTTTTCATTACTTGAGTATATAAAATACTTAACCACGCTGGAACCACAAGTGATATGTTTTGCCACTAGTATACGTCCACGATTTCCCAAAAAATTATCATCGGAAGTTGCAGAAGCAGAAACTGGCAGGTCCATTTAAAAAATTTGGCATGTTAAAGGTTATGATTATACCAGTAACTGACCTACATTCAGAGTTTAATATTTACTTAAGTCTTTAAGTCTTTACATGTATCTGAGGAAAACATATATAGTAGTCATACCAGTCATTTACAGTCTACCAGTAAGTTAAATGATGTTTTGTCATTTACAGCAAAAAGTTACGTGTGAATATCAATGTACCAATGAAATCAGAGGTCAAAGTTGAACAAGAAGCTACACATAAACATATAGAGGAAGACAGAAAATTACTTATTCAGGTATTGTATTGACAACAAACAAAGAAGATTGATTGATTTACTTAATGTGCCTGCTCCAGCCTGAACTTAGACATCCTAGCTAATGGAATGTTGGTGCTTCTACTCAGGTGCCGGTTTGTGTCTGAAATAATATATAGGGGGCATCTCTAATATAATGTATAGAAGGACCTTATGAGGTCTTTCTCACCAGTAAAGTGGACTATGCATGTTGAACCAGCGTTACCCAACCAAAAACAAACTGAAGCATGGTGAAGCAAATAATCTTGTTACACTTAAAATGTGTGTCAGTGTAACATAGGCAACCAAAAATACAAAAATTGTTATTATAATGTACAAAGGAGAAAAGACATTACTGATTCTGTCATTCTAAGCATTGAAAGTATAGCAACAGAAAAATATGCTTTTATGAACTCAAATTGCCCCTTTAAATGATGAATGGTTTTGTCCAGATTTATAGATGGACAGGTCTATTTGTGATATTTAGTGTGGTAAGAGTATAAATATAATTTGTATTACAGGCTGCAATAGTACGTATCATGAAGATGAGGAAGCAACTAAAACATCAACAGTTGCTCGCTGAAGTGCTCAATCAACTATCATCCAGGTTTAAACCTAGAGTTAATGTCATAAAGGTACAGTTCTTATATCATTCATTCCAACTGAAACTGTGTCATTCATTAGATAATTTTTGGCTTGGCTATTCGCTAGAGTCATGTCATAAGGGATAAATTTTCTTTATCATCACTTCTGTGAAACTTTTGTCATATTCATTAGATATTATTCTCGACTGTTGAGAAAGGGAAGTATTCATCACACTTGTAAGGTTTTTGAGGCATGTTGGTATCTCCAAACTATGAGGAATGTTTGAAAGCTTCACACTTATTGATGAGCATTAATAGGTTATAACCATAACTGTAACATGGATTTTGACGAATTATGACCTTTTTGGAAACTTATCAAGGCCTTGTTTTACTATCAAGCATTGAGATTAGTGAAGCACTCTTTCCTACTGATAGCTCTTGTTTATCCCATGGTAGAAAAAAAAAATGAAGACAACCACCATGTATTTATACCACAGAGTGTAGTAGTATAGTTTAGTAATTTACAATTGGTGTATTTTATTGGAAACAAATGATATCATTGCGATTAATTTACATGTATATACAAATTTGTTACTTTATATATTTAAGATAAGGAGAGACTTACCATATGTTTCTGCTTTTGTGTTTTCAGAAATGTATAGACATTTTGATAGAGAAAGAGTATTTGGAACGTGTGGACGGACAGAAGGACACATACAGCTATTTAGCATAGTGATACAAGCTAAACTGTGATCATTTATTATTCTGTTGCATTGGAGATAAAAGGACCTGTTGCTACGAAACTTACCATGTTGTTAGGGACCTTGTCATGTTGCTTTTAGAAGCAGGGTCTTTTGCTACGGAAACCCACCATGCTGTTACGGAATTTGTCATGTTGCTATTAGAAGCAGGGTCTGTTGCTATGGAAACTCTTTGCGTTGCTACAGAGACATAGTACATACTATCCTGTGGCTAGGGCATTTGTCTTGTTGCAGTGCTAAGAAGATCTGTTACTATTTTTAGAAATTACAAACAAAAAATTTATTCCTATGGAATTTGAAACTTTTTTCAAATAGGTTAAGCTCAGCATGTGTTGTCTCCCTTGTTAGTGCTATTACAGTTGTTAGACCTACCTACATACTAATTCTGAGCCACACTGACCTTCTGGAGCAAATTTTTTGTCACACAGTCAATATCAAACTTTTTTCAACCAAACATAAAATGACATGCAATTGTGTTTGTCAGTGCACAAGTTAACTCAGAAGGAAATAATTCCAAACTAGTTCAAAATAGAATTGAAGTGTTAAATCCAGTTTTCATACAGTTGAATTATTCAAACCCCATTCTGTCAAGTGTTTTAAATTGTTAATATTAGTGTTCAGAAATAATTTAAAATTGTCATATTTTTGTTCACACGTATAAAGCAGGTGCAAGATGTTGTCCTTATGTTGTAATTTTTGAACGTTTATAAGACAGTGAATTTTTATTATTATTTTTTTTTGTATAATTTATTCATTATTTAAAGTTAGTGTATATGGTTGTGCTCAGCAACATTAGATATACACACGGTATCTGCTGTCACCTTGTAGGCAGGGAAATAGGGTGTGGCTTATTTTAGGGGCGGGTATTTCTAACATTTAGGGGCGGGCAGGGAAATGGGTGTGGCTTATTTAGGGGCGGGTATTTCTAAACATTTAGGGGCGGGTAGGTTGTTTGGAATATTTTTTTAAGAATGCAAAAGTTGAAAGTCACACTTATATTAAGAGAAAATGTGTTAAATTTAAAAACTGTATCGTCCATTGTTTATGGTTCATAGATAATAGGATAGAAAATGTATTTCTTTTTCTGCAGCGGAAGAAAATATTATATTGAAGTTGTTGATAAAGATTGGTTAACCTTCAATTTATGAGATGAAAACCTGGCATTAGCATGGGATCATTTAAATATAATATCAGATCGTTTAGTTAAATATTGAAACATTTAGATAAATATTGGATCATTTATATATTTCATCATTGTCTGATTACATATTCTATTAATTTATATATATATACAGAAAAATCACATGAAAAATTCGCAAGCTACAGCCAGGACTCGAAAAATATATACATTTTGTATATATTTGATACATTAAAGACAAGAAAAGTTTGTTTAAAATTTTTATAACCTTACCCAGTACCTGCTGAATTTGTGTACTAGATTTTCCCAGCAGTCCATTTGAATTTTAGGGGTTTTCATCACAAAATACCAAAATTTAGCTGTTAGTATAGGGCCTGGTCAGACTACATGGATGTGCAGGTTGGCTTGGCACTAAACTGGTGGCAAATCTTTGCCAGGAGGTAAAGGGCTAATGTAGATCTTAAAATAGGTCTGTCCATCATTAACAATTGATTGACCAGTTAATTTATTTGTACTTTTGTAATTAAATAACAAATTCGTGATTACTAGTGTATTAAACATTGCATTAGGTTTTTGTTTTCAGGAAATACCTGTAGCCAAAATGTAGTTATTTTGCAGAAAATTTACTGAATAATTATGTTAACTTTGTTTCTTTTGAATGAATAACCTTACATTGCAATAATTGTTTAATAATTCCAGAAAAGCATGGCATAAACATGTGGGAACTTTTCAAACTATGTAACTCTTCAAGGTTCATGACCTAAAATATATGACCCATTTCTCCCAACAAATTTTCAACAATATTTTCATTGGAGGAAGCTATCCCGCTAGCTCACAGTGGGTCGATGGTTCTACTCGGGTGTCTTGAAATAATGCAAGAAGGTGCACCTGAGGTTTTCCTCCATCAGTAAAACTGGAAGGTCGCCATATGATCTTAACAGTATTGGTGTGACATAAAATCCAACACAAAACAAGCAAACCAATGTAATATAACAACTACAGGTATAATTCCTCATGATACATTTTATATAACATTGTTAATGGATGAAGAGCATTTATTATGTTCATTGTTGAAGGAATAGTTATCTTTTTTGTGAGAAATAAATATGTGTATATAATTAAACGACTTTTGTATATAAGTATATTTCCATTGTGTTAAGAATAGGTGTGAAATCTTAAAGGGGTTTTCCTTTTTTAAAAAATTGTGGAGTGCAAAAGATATATAATGTGTGCGCATAAGAGTTTTTATGTTTTTTTGTACCTGATATATATATAAAAAACATTGTTGAATTTCAGTAATTTATTTCATTATTTTCAAAGACCTCTAGTTGTTCATTTGTGTCAAGACTGATTCATCTATACTATACGTCGTCGGTATCTGTGTGTCACAATTGAGGAGTGATACTGTATTTGCTGTTAATGTACTAATAGTTTGATACAGTGTGTTGAATTTTTTTTTTACCAGTGTTACTGTTCAGAATACGACAATTTCTTTGTTGCTGGGCTTAAATTGGTGACTGTGCTCTAACCAGTGTTGGACAATATCTATAACCTATTATTTCATAGAAGTTACCATAGTTTTGTTTTTTCTGTGAAGAAAATTACTAAAAAATGTTTATATATACAAAATATTGAAGAAACACATGAAGAGTTATTCATTTTATTAGGGAAAGTTAATAAACACTCTTATGTCACATTTGATCTTCATGAATTCAGTATTCAATCTAACTTAATGAATTTAAATACTGAGGAAGTGTATCTGATTTTCTTTAAATGCCTCCTTAATGAACTTAATCAAAAGTTTTATGTCTATATTATAATATATACATGTACATTGAGTACATTTGAGCCGCATCACGACAAAAGCAACATAATGGGTTTGCGACCAGCATGGATCCAGACCAGCCTGCGCATCCGCGCAGTCTGATCAGGATCCATGCTGTTAGCTCTCAGTTTCTTTATTTGTAATAGAGTTTGTAAGCGAACAGCAGGGATCCTGATCAGACTGCGCGGATGCGCAGGCTGGTCTGGATCCATGCTGGTCGCAAACCCATTATGTTGGTTTTGTCGTGACGTGGCTCATTTGTTTAATGTCTGGCCAGAGCATAAAATTTTTTGAACAAAAATGGTAATGTTATGCTGTTAACTAAGAATGCTGTGTTAGGAAAGTTCTTTTTTTTTTAAAATAAGTTTTCGAGGGGATGTTGTCTGGGGCATTAGTTGTTATACTAACAGTGTTATCAAATTATTTTTAAAACGATTCTACTTAATTTCTAGAGTCTACCTTTTAACTTGCTGAATTTATGTAAATGGACTTGCCCTGTTTTGAATTCGGAGCAGTCCATTCAAAATTTTAGGGATTTTAATAGAAAAATTACAAAAAAGTGAACTACTATTAGTATCGAACCTGGTCAGACTGCTTGGTTGTACAGACTGGCATGGCTCTATACTGGTGGTAAACACTGATCATTTTTAACAGCTATGGTTATTAGTACCAGGGTTTGTTTCCGAGAAGAAGATAAAACCAACAAAGACATTAATGATTTATCACTTAATGATATTGTAGACAGTGGAATTTTAATTTTAGTGCTAACAGCTGTATGCTTTATTGGCAATACTTCTTTGAAAATTGATACTTATATTTGTTGAAAGTTTTATCATTTGTTCTACTACATAAACGTTCTAAACTTCAGAAAAAAGAGTGATCTACAGCAAGTGTCTGTAGGTCCTATTTTCACCAATTTCTTTTAAAAAACGACTCCTCGTACAGTAACAGTATTGATGAATCATGAATAAAACATGATAAAATAAAAACTATCTCTTTTCTTATATGTTTCATCACCATATGTGGTCTTATGAGTGGTGATCGTCCCTTAATCCCCGCCTGATGCAGTTTCAAATCTCTTCAGGATCTTTGACTCCAGCTAGCTAATGGAAGACTGGTGGTTCTACTCCGGTGCCCACTTGTGCCAGATATACATGTAGGGGATTACCGAAGTTCATCATCAGTCATTTGAAAAATAGCCATAATGACATTTGCTGTGTTGATGTAACTTGTAGCCCAAACAAAACAAATGCCGGTTTAAATATTGACAATCCATTCCATTTGTTTTAAGCTTCTATGTTAAAGCTTGAAGTGTAAATTAGTCTCGAATTAATTGTACAAGGCGAGCGTGCTCGTTTGAAAAACGGGTTGTACTATAGTTTTGCCCCTGGCAGGCAGGTGGCGTCCAAATTTGTCCGCAGCATATCTCCTACATGCATGGAGGGATTTTAATGAAACTACATAGAAATATTCACAACTATGAGAAGCAAAGTCATGTGCATTAACCAGGTATCTACATATAGTATGTCAAAGGTCAAATTTAAAGGTCATTGAAAAACGCTTGTTTGGAGCAAAACTTCTACATGTATAGAGGGATTTCAATATAACTTGGGACAAATGTTCAACATTGTGAGGTGGAGTATCAAGTACAAAATTCCTGTTTTGCAGAAGCTATTGGAATAATATACATGTAGTTGAAAGGCTGGAAAATAAACACTATCGTATAGATTTTAACTAGAGATATACAAATTAATCGTTGTGCAAGCAGAATTATAAAAAATTTGCCAAGAAGTATAGTTTATAAAAGTCACTTATGGACAAACAAAGCTTGAAAATTAAACATATATTTACTCTATGCAATTCAATAAAATGTATAAATATACCAACTAAAAATGTAAATAAACTATGTTTTTGGTATCTGCCTGTTTATTTCAAATACTTCCGGTAGAAATTAAGATTATAAAAATAGAATTAACTCCCTGTATTAAAGACGAGTCCATGGTAAACGAAGATGGAAAACAAAATATATTAATAAGTGATTGATGCAGTATTATATTTACATGGGGGTGAAGTGCAGAGTTATCCTGACAATTTGTTCTGCATTCTTTTGACAACAGTCATGAAGGTCTTACAAATTTTATTTTCACAATAAAATAGTCGTCAAAATGGTCAGTTATAATATACACGCATATCTTTCAAAAGAGAAAATAAGTCTGAAAATAGTTTTTATACCGCTATTCATGTAATTAATTAATCAATTAATGTATTTTGTTTTGCATAGGGAAATGCAATGGATGTAATTCAGTAAATTTAAGCCTTATTTCAGCATTGTCATTTTCGAAACCGAGTTAGAATATCAACACAATTTGATTTATACACAACATACACAATGTGCGTGATCTGTAACGCAATACATATCAGAATAATTTTAGTGCAATGAACCCCTATGACAAATTTTCCCCAGAATGTGTCCCAGAATTTCAATCACATGTTTTATAAATACACGGAGATTCTTCAGCTCTGCCTCCATAATTTCCATTTTATGTTATACGTCATTAGGCGTTGAACTAAACTATTTCATCTGGGTTAATTGGTCATTTCAAGTTTTGGCGTGAAGATGTAGTAATGTTTGGCGAGAAGATGTTGTAATGGTTTGTTTGCACTGTACAAATATTTGTAAACATGTTTTAGTTATGTTTCAACTCATCTCATATTTACATAAATGAAAGTTTTAAAATAAAACAGACGCATCGCCCGAAGCCGAGCCTACTAATCTATGTAAAGAAATCCTGGTCTGTTTTTTTTTAATTTTACAAAACACTGCATTTTGCATTTAAACATTATAAAGTTATAAAATCAAAGTAGACGAATAAGAGAACAGCATGTGTGAGTGTTAGTTAATACGTCAATGAGTCAAATTCAATCGCAACTTTTCGGTGGTATTTAGCAAACGTATAAAAGCTGACAATAGCCGAGGTGTTCCGATAGTAGTTATGCAAAAAAGCTCATTTTGAAATGTTCCTGTCATGATAAAATGTCTTCAAAGAAAATCACATTTGCCTGTTATAACTATTATTTGCCATTGTATTATGTATTGATGTATTGAAAATCGTTCACTTACGTAATTTTTAAGTCTGGATCACGTTTGTGATATACTTACCCTGAAATATTAAGCTTCTATATGAAACATTCGGTTATAACAGTCTTTTAATTTCATTCTGAGAATGTCAGCTTCTTTTTTCTTCTTTTTTTGTGTTTTTTTTTTAGATTTTTGCTTTCTTTATTACGTGCAATCTTTTACTTGGCATAGTTAGTAGCGTTTTTGTCAAGTTCAAGAGATTTAGAATGCAAATTTTGTATACACTTATGATGGTAAATTTCACTCAAAAAATATCTCTGATTATTTCATGCTTTCCAGTGTTTTATTGTAATATATCAGATGATTATATTCTGATAAACCACTAGTGAAATTTATAAAATATAATTTTCACTGTAGCCGGACTATATCTAAATGCGGATGAAAAGAAAATCATAACTAAATGGAATAACAGGCAGAAATAAATGCTGTCATGCGTAAATGTTGCTTCTTTATGAAAAGAAAGTCGATGTCACCATACATCATGTTAAAAATGTAACAAAATTAGAGAAATTTAACAGAACTATATTTCAAAATTGATGATGTGACGTCATGATGTGATCACGTCACAAAGGAGAATGCGCGACGTTACGCGGCAAAATCAGTAAATAATACTTAAAATCACTTAAAAAGCATGAAATAAACAGAAAATTTATTTGTTTAACATATAAGATTGAAATATATTTCATTCGTGAACACCAGCTATTATATTTTCACTCGTGGCTACGCCACTCGTGAAAATATTGCATCTGGTGTTCACTCAGTGAAATTATATTTCAATCTTACATGCAAAACAAACAAATATCCTCTATATATTCCGTTCACAGTTGAAAGTGATAAAATATGCAATGATAAAGTTTATTAAATGTCGGAAAAAGAAAATAAATATCAACATTTCCTTTCCATGTGTTCAGTAATTTTTCACCGGGATACACTATTATTCAAGGTATTTTGCCGTAATTCCATCTCACAATGTTTCAATCAAAGTAACATGATTAAAATAGTAAACCGGATTTTCATAAGCCTCCATTGAAATGGTGTCAGACTCTATACGGAGCTCTTATGGCGAAACATTTCTTGCTGCAAAACAAAAATTAATTATTCAAATCTAGGTATGTTGCGCTTTCTAGACTATACGTTTTTGCCGCGTTTGTTAAAAGCACTGAAATCTTCTTAAGCGCATACTTTTCTTATGAGTTCACAAAAGATATAATATATATAACTTATTATTAAAAATTATAAAATCTTAGAGAATTTAAATTTCCTTTACTTATTGTTTTCGACTTACAATAGCCAGTGTGATGGCTGCTTAGATGTGAAAGCTTCGTCAGAGAAAATGAAATAACTATCAGTTTATGAAATAATTTTAAAGGGACTCCACTGAGGTTTAAAAGCCTTAAAAGTTAAAGCATAACATTTGAATTTCTTACATAAATGAGCTGGGGCACTTTAAACAAAAATATATGCAAAGGTAGATAAGAAATATACTTTGAAATAAATAGAAAATCGTATTTTTATGGTCTTTTTTTACAGCGAAAAGCGTTTAAACGCCTTTCATTTTGGGTCATTTTTTACAATTTGAATAATTATTCTGGAAAAACGAAGTGCGCGAATGATCTGAAATTTTGCACAAAGATTAGTGGCATAAACCTACATCAAATGGTACATTTATCTGGAAAACATATTTTCAGTCCCGTCATGTCAAAAAACCTCAGTGGAGTCCCTTTAAGCTTAGAACGGCAGGTACATGATCATAATAATGAAGGATACCTTTCGTGTGACGTAACTCTACTTGCAAATCTTGAATCTTGTCTTGTTTCGTTCTCATACCTCGATGTAAATTTGCATTCTCCTGGACCATGCTTGTGTACGTCATAATTACTGAGGCAAGTTGATCTAGAATGAGAAAATGTCAATTTTATTTATCCATAATGCCAATGATTTATGTTAAGTATTGACCTGCTGAATTAACCAAACTTTAAATTTAAAACAGTGACAACAGTCCATATCATAAAGGTATTAGCTCGGAGACTTCGATATTGAAACACAAAACAAAACAAAAAATACCGTTACAATAACAATATCAACCCGCCCATCGTCGGATACCCACAGCCGGTCTGGCCAGTCAGTTTGGGCATGCGTGTTTGCTCGGCGGAGGATTTTTGCCTCTATAGTCATACCGCTAAAACGACCATTAGCTTTCTCAACAAACGCAAAGTGAATAACATAACACCTGCAGAATTGATGCCAAAAAGCTCAGATGCAGCTCCCATGGACTTTGGTATCTGGGATATACTGAAACGTATGCTACAGAAACGCAAGCTTTATACCATGTCCGGTCTCAAAGACGAATGGAGCAAACATGAGCAATAAACCGGACTTTAGAAAGCTGGCCAAAAGGGTGGAGAATTATTTACTATTGCAATGGATCCCCAGGCAAAAAAAACACACGTGCGTAAATAATTAGGCAGGTTTTAAAACTGTTTCATAATAAATTGGACGCCTCTCGTGTAATCTAGCGTATGTCATTAAATTTGCGAAAATTTTATATTAATTGACAACCATTTTTGTTCGGCGCGGATATTTTTTTTATTTTTTGTTACTCAATATTTCATTGGACTATATATATATAAAGTAAAATTTCCATAATTATAGTCCCACTTTTATAGTCTGTATGATATGAGATTACAATACATTTCTGGATACTGTACTTAATTTAGTATTATGCCTCTCAAGATCGTTTATTTCGTCATCATTTAACATATTTTGTTCAATTTGTATTTTTAATGATGAAGATCAGTTACATAGCACGTATATTTTACCTCCAACTGCCTGCTGTTGACTAAGTTCGCTTAAAACAGTTTCCAGCCGAGTCTGTAATAGAACGTCCATCTTGTCTGTAATATCATGTCTTGAACGATAGTCTCTGTCTGAAAGTATATGTTTATAATTATGCGGATGCGTTAATAGATTATAGTGGCTGATTTGTGCCATGTCGAACTTTTGCTTCGTGGGGTGCAAGGCGATAACACGAAAATACGAGTCAACACTTTGTCTTATTAAAGGCTTTTGTGCCATGCGCAACGTTGAGCGAAAGCACGACAAAGTGGAGACTGTCGAATTTTCATGTTTTCGCCTTGGACCCCGCGTAGCAAAAGAACTGACGTATTTTCGTGTTTTCGCCTTTGCACCCCGCGTAGCGAAAGTACAGACGTATTTTCGTGTTTTCGCCTTTGCACCCCGCGAAGCGAAAGTACTGACATATTTTCGTGTTTTCGCCTTTGCACCACGCGCAGCGAAAGTACTGACGTATTTTCGTGTATTCGCCTTTGCACCCCGCGAAGCGAAAGTACAGACGTATTTTCGTGTTTTCGTCTTTGCATCCCGCGGAGCAAAAGTACTGACGTATTTTCGTGTTTTCACCTTTGCACCCCGCGAAGCCAAAGTACTGACGTATTTTCGCTTTTTTACGCCTTTGCACCCCGCGAAGCGAAAGTACTGACGTATTTTCATGTTTTCACCTTTGCACCCCGCGAAGCGAAAGTACTGACGTATTTTCGTGTTTTCGCCTTTGGTCCCCGCGGAGCGAAAGTACTGACGTATTTTCCTGTTTCACCTTTGCACCCCGCGAAGCGAAAGAACTGACGTATTTTCATGTTTTCACCTTTGCACCCCGCGAAGCGAAAGTACTGACGTATTTTCGTGTTTTCGCCTTTGCACCCCGCGGAGCGAAAGTACTGACGTATTTTCGTGTTTTCGCCTTAGCACCCCGCGAAGCGAAAGTACTGTCGTATTTTCGTGTTTTTCTCCCGCGAAGCGAAAATATAACATGACACAAATCAGCCACAATAATAAAAAGTGTTAATAAATAACTATTCAATTACTTATAATACATATATATAGGTACAAAAAAGTGTTTATGTTACAGTACATTTTTAAGGCATAATAAACTTTTCTGGGGACCACCTCTTGTTTTGTTTTTTAATTTAATCAGTGATTATTATAAAAGTATTTTTATGTATAAAATTGTCATCTTCCCTTTACTTTACCTTAACTGTAACAGTACTTTTATATTTTTTATGTTAAAATCATTTATTAAATTTATATTAATATTATCATCATCATCATCGTCGTCATCGTCACCGTAATTATTATTATTAGTTTAACTTTTAGCTTTAGATAAAATACCATAAAAATGTTGAAGCTGCTGGATGGCTCGACCAAGTTTTCCTTCTGACGACACCTCCAGTTCACTTATTGATACAGTTAACCGCCGAAGAGTAGCGATTTCATCTGGAAAAAAAGTCGTTACTGGTTAGAAATGCATATATGTGTCCACATACAAAATTTCAAAAGCATGCTTTTTCTCAAACGTGAACGATGTCTGTTGCCAAACAATGAACAAAAAAAAAATTCATTTTTTCTCGTGAACGTTGCTTGTTTCCAATAAATAAACAAGATATTTTCAATTTCTCGCGAATGCTGCTTGTTGCTTAGCAATGAACAATTTTTTCTCGCGAAACGCTGCCTGTTGCTAAGCAATATACAAGTTATTTTTATATTTTTGCAAATGCTGCCTTATTGCTAACCAATTAGCAAAAAGTTTTTATTTTCTCGCGAATGCAACCTGTTGCTAAGTAATGTACAAGGTATTTTCATATTCTCGCAAATGCTGCCTATTGCTAAACAATTAGCAAAAAAGTTATTTTTTCGCCAATGCTGCCCGTTGCTTAGCAATATACAAGATATTTTCATATTCTCGCAAATGCTGCCTATTGCTAAACAATTAGCAAAAAAGTTATTTTTTCGCCAATGCTGCCCGTTGCTTAGCAATATACAAGATATTTTCATATTCTCGCAAATGCTGCCTATTGCTAAACAATTAGCAAAAAAAGTTATTTTTTCTCCAATGCTGCCCGTTGCTTAGCAATGGGCAAGATATTTTCCATTTCTCGCGAATGTGAAATATTCATCGGAGAAAGACAATTGCCCTACATATGATAATGCTATTGATATAATAATTATAATGGCAGTATGTATTTGGCACAATGATAGACTTTCATCTAATCCAAGAAGGAACAATGAGATAAGCCAACCTATCTTTGAAAATTAGCATCATAAACATACTGGCGGATATCCCGTTCCATCTACAATTGTATACCTTTTTGTACGACTATTAATTGAATCATATTTGTATAATACATGTACATTATACAATTAATACCAAACATACTACAACAATACATGATTGGATAAGAAAACTACAAAAACTACTTATATCAATGCGGTTCCTGTACCATTCTGAATTGTGAAAACGCCATTATTAATTCAAGTGTTGTACGACCAAACTGCTAAATCAGAATGGCGCGTGTTCAGAACAAAACTGCAAGAATGTGCCAGCTGCCCTGTCACTATTGAAGGCCAAAGAAGTCATTACATTACATTACAGGAATTCATTACATTACATTACAGGAATTAATTACATTACATTGCAAGGATTATATTTTTACCATCTAACGTCCCAATGTGATTCATCAGCTGCTCCGTTTCAACATGCTTTTCATGCAAATGTCCTAAAAATGCAATAAAAATAAGCGAACAAAAGTCAATGATTTCTTGAAATTTATAGAGTTATTGAACCATACAAACGTGAAAAATAACTAAAAATAATCAACATTATCAACTTGGTGAAAGCATTTCATTGTATATGTATTAGAAAGAGCTCTTTACCATTTACTCCATAAATTAACGTAAATTTGGAAAACAACATTTTTTTATCAACCAACAAACCTTTTAATGTTGCCACTTCAGTTTGAAGTTCTTCTATGGTTTTATCTTTGCTCGGGACGATGTACTCGCGGTAGTTTTGAAGTTCACTTGCTTGTGTAAAACACAAGTATTGAAATATTTGCAGTTGTTCATTTTCGGCATTGAGACGACATACGTCTTGTTCGGTGTCAAAAAGCGCAGCTACAAAAATGTTTCAAGAGAATTAGAAGTTTGGTGCCTGTCACTGAATTCCACACTGTTCTCCTTCTATAACATGCTCGTCACTTTCCGTGAAGTTCATGGATTATATATGGAATGAGAGGGATCTACGGAAGGAAACGAGCTTCCCCGAAGTCACACGAGCTTTTGAGGCATACAAAATGTACTTTAATTCAAAGCTGGTCCAATTTAGTAATATAAGTATAAAACGATCTTAATGACAAATTAATCACAGCATAATTTTTACACATTTGCCTTGTTCCATAAAAAATATTCTTTTTTTTTCTACAGAGAAAGAGACTTTCGTCGGCAGGTCGTTAAAAAACTCTCTGGTATTTTGCTTTAACAATAACACAGATTATCAAACAATTGAAGCATAAGGTAGATAACAGAGGTGAAAGGCAAATAGTTACAAATACAACAAGTTGTAACCTTGACGACGATAAACTGCATGGAACTTACCTTGAAGTCTTTGATTTTGGCTTTGTTCTTGTTCAATCTCTTCCTGTTGCTTTCTGACATCTTGTGTAAGTACATGTTCCGTATCTATAACAACAACAACAATAATAATAACAACAACAAAAACAACCACAGACTGCCAAATTCCCCGCCGAACAGGCGGAAAGTTAAAAAATAGGACGGTCCATCTGCACACACTACACCGACATTTAAAATGTAACTACATATGTAAGGCTATAACCAGAAAAGTACAAAGCTGATATATTGGCGCCAATTCGCCTTTCAATTCTTTTCTCTTCTTAGCTTAAGGTCTTCAGAATATCCGTTTATATACTATGACATGGCGTGACTTTGATGCCGCATCTGATGAAAAACAAAAATGTTAAAAAGCGGCTTATAAAGTTTTGGAAGCCAGAACAATTATCTTCTAAGCATTTTGAGTTAAAACCTGGAAAAATACAAATAATGCATAAAAACACAAAATCAACAATAACTCCAGAAATTATTTATGATGAGACGAGTTCTTGTCAACTGCGTTCCTTCTTACTGTGGTCTATCATCCACTGAAGTTTCGAATTTATGTCTCTAGAGCTTTACGAGTTTTGGTCTGGTCGAAAATTATGCAAGAAATGAAACAAAGGGCAATAACTTAAAAGAATGAAGTAAAGAGTTAAAATGTATAATAATTGTACACTGCACTGCTCGTAAGTGAAAGTTATCCAGTACATGTATAAAGTTATCTATCATTTATTTCATGCTTTCCAGTGTTTTATTGTAATATATCAGATGATTATATTCTGATAAACCACTAGTGAAATTTATAAAATATAATTTTCACTGTAGCCGGACTATATCTGAATGCGGATGAAAAGAAAATCATAACTAAATGGAATAACAGGCAGAAATAAATGCCGCCATGCGTAAATTTTGCTTCTGAAGGAAAAGAAAGTCGATGTCAGCATACATCAAGTTAAAAATGTAACAAAATTAGAGAAATTTAACAGAACTATATTTCAAAATTGATGATGTGACGTCATTATGTGATGACGTCACAAAGGAGAATGCGCGACGTTACGCGGCAAAAGCAGTAAAAATTACTTAAAATCACTTAAAACGCATGAAATAAAAAGAAAATTTATTTGTTTTACATATAAGATTGAAATATATTTCATTCGTGAACACCAGCTATTATATTTTCACTCGTGGCTACGCCACTCGTGAAAATATTACATCTGGTGTTCACTCAGTGAAATTATATTTCAATCTTACATGCAAAACAAACAAATATCCTCTATTTATCACTACATCCTTGCTCAATAATATTTATCCACTTATAAAGTTGAGACCGCCATTTCGGTGGGGGACAATAATGATGGTTCTTATAATGACAATAATAATAATGATGATGATGATTACGACGACGACGACGATGATAAGTATAAACATCATTCGAATAACTTTCTCACGACTTGCATGCTTTTGGAGCAGTTTTGAAATGTCCCCACCGGTCTTTCGTACATATTCGGCTTAGTGCACTTTGATGTGTTTGTATGTTTTTCTGTTACTTATAGCCTGATAGACTCATAGAAAATAAAAATTGAAACAATTGAAAATTGTAATAAATCTGCTCGTTTCCTCAAGCAACATATTACCTTCCAGTTGTTCAATAGTTAAGTAATGCGATCTTAGGATATTCTCACTGGCTTTTTCCATTTCTACGATGTGGTGTGAACTGATAGATTTGCCACAGACATTACACAGCTCATCAAGATCGTCTTTTCTTTGACTGAAACAATGTGAGCACATGCACAGGCCGCATTCAGTAACTGTGGCTCCCCCTAGCTCTGTCCGAAATATCGGACATTTCATAGGTGAGAATTCATCATTCCCAAACTCAATCTGTAATAGAAATATCATTATGTTTATACTTCAATTCTAGACGCGAAAATGAATTGCCACTAGTATAGAGAAGGTCCAGCCTACACGTCCTTGCCGTCCGACCAGGTTTGAATCTGTTGGTTGCATGGTTTTAGCATTTCGCTTTCAAAATCGCTCATATGATCAATGGATTGTTCCAAAATCAGAGTAGGACAAGTTCAGCACACAACTTTAGCAGGCTCTATAATTTGAAGCTGTTTAAGTTTATCGGGGCGTCCGTGAACAAGTGGTTACGGTCGTTAACTTCAAACCACTTGCCCCTCACCGCTGTGGGTTCGAATCCCGACAGGCCTTGAAATTTTTCAGGTGAGGTAGCTACTCAGCATCAGAGGTCTTCCTCCGCCAGAAAAACTAGAAGCTCCGCCATAAGACCTATGTGTCGGTGTGACATAAAACCAAAAAAAAACAAGTTTAAGTTTATCATTTTGATTTTAAAACACATCATACCTATATCAGCAATTAACATTTCCAAATCGAGCAAGACTTGAGCATACTGAGAAAGATGAAGAAATGCAGAAGAAATCAAAGTTAAGTCAGTAAAGAGGCCTTCCCACAACAGAAAGTATATATTCCGATAAAGGAATCCGAAATAGCCATATAACAAACTGTTAGGCAAGCGTACCTGATTCCGGTTTTCTGAGATCAGTGAAGTTTCCAGAATGGACGGGTTTTCGGCAGTATCACCCAGATTCAGGTCCGGAATGTCTACCAATATACTAGTATTTTCATTAGCTGACACGTTATCTCCAATTCTGTCCGATTCAGCAGAATCAATGTTTTCCTGATCAAGGTCATGTGGAGTTCTAGAAATGTTCTCTATCCAGGTTTCGAACTCTTCAGTACTTATTGGGTTATCTAAGGTGCTATCATGTTCAATGGGCGAAATGTTTTGCAATACATCTTCGCCTGTAGACGGTGTCTGGCTCTCATTGGTGATTCCTGCTGGGTGAATCGGTTGAAAAGTGCTCACGTGATCTTCTGGTTGTCTGGTTTCCATTCCGTCTTTATCGAGTTATCTTTCTTAGTACGCGTCTTTAACAAAAATGAATATATACTTTAATACATTTAAACTTGAAAACTAGATATTCTAATTAAACAAATTAACCCAATGCGTCGTATGTTGTGGTATTTTTAAATTGTGTGTTTGTTGCCATCCTAGCTAGTCTCAGTTTAGCTATGATATAATTATTGACTAAATGAAAATAATAAAAAAAAAAAATTCACTGTTATATTATTATATAGTCTATGATGATCTATTGATGTTTTAGTGCATAAATAACAAGGTTAAACACATTTTAGGTCAAATCAATGCCACTAGCACCTTTGCATAGAGGTATTGCACTACAAAGATTTAACATATTGTTAAGCCAGTTATTGTAAAGAGGTGGTTGCTCTACAGAAGGTTGCAATAGAGGTTGAACTGTAAGTAAATTCTACCTGCTTTAAATCTAAAACGGTCCATTCGATAAGAGGTTTTTATGTCCCAATTAAAAAACAATCTACCCAAAGTTTCAGGCCCGGTCAGACTGCCATGTGTCTAGACTACCCTGGCTCTATACTAATGGCAAATGTATATCACTTCCGGTGCCAGCAGGCTACGGGTGTTGATGATACCAACTTTTAACTTACACAAACCTTTTTTTTTTAAAGGTATAAATCTATATCTTATGAAATATTTCTATAAAATTTATCAACAGTAAAATTATATTGGTTCCATTATTATATGATTGATTCCCGATGAAAGTTGAATCATAGAATGTCTCTGTTATTTAACACGCATAAATAATGTAAGTAAACAGAATTAAATGTTCCGTTTGCTACTTTAAGTAGGCGTTTTATCCGTTTAGCAATGATTTTTGCATGCGCCATTCCTTTTTAAGGCGATTAACTACCATTTTTACTTCATATAAGCATTTTGGAAGTATTTTTTTTTAAAATTCAAACAATAATTTTTGCAATAGATATATAGCTTTATACACTTTAAGTCACTAAAGTTTGCCAACTGTAGCTATAACTTAATACAGCGGGTCAATACAATATGGTATGTCAATACAATATAGAAAACAATATGAGCCGCGTCACGACAAAACCAACATAATGGGTTTGCGACCAGCATGGACCCAGACCAGCCTGCGCATCCGCGCAGTCTGATCAGGATCCATGCTGTTCGCTATCAGTTTCTCTACATGTTAAAGGGTTTGTAAGCGAACAGCATGGATCCTGATCAGACTGCGCGGATGCGCAGGCTGATCAGGATTAATGCTGGTCGCAAACGTATTATGTTGGTTTTGCCGTGACGCGGCTCAAATAATAAATTACTTTGATACTATCAGTCTTTAATTTTTAATTATATTTAAAATTTACCTTTTTCCCTGTTAGAAAATTCCGAAAAATAAAAAATCATGTATGATTATTAATCAAAAATGGAGTTAGTCAGGTTTATTTTCCGAAATATCATTGTGCCCATTTGTGTTTACATTGTAAATGTAACTGATATATCGGTTTTTAATCTCATTTTCCGAAAATGCACTATTAAAACAATTTTCAATAGCGTTAAACGTGCATAATAATCTGCACTACCTTGATAGTTAAAGCTAGGTCATAATTTGTTATACCAAAGTGTTGTTTTTTGCTGTGATAAGGAATGGCAAAACAAAACCTCCAAAACATTTATATAACTTCAAATCACTTTAAAGGGACTTCACTGAGGTGTTTTTAATGTGACAACCTGGACAGACTTATTTTTTATTTTTTCTTACTAAAATCGGGCTAAGAATTGCAAATAAAATCGATATTTAATGTAATTCTGTGTATATTTCTTTAATAATGCTTTGCAGACTTCTCCATTTTGAGTGTTTTACTTGGTCTTTGCAAGAATTGTAATCATAGATCCATATGTTTTAACATGTTAAATTAACTAATAATATGACAGACTAGTGTCTTATCCCTCTATGTTGGCTTTTGCATACATAATTTAGTATATTGAAGTTTTAATTTAGTGATAACATTTGTATAATTTATTGGCATTGCACAATATTTATACGTCTGTTTGATGAAAGTTTCATCATTTGAATATGAAATAAATTCAACGCTCCTCATTAAATTTGAAAAATCGTCATAATTATGTTTATTCGCAGTGTTGGTGTGACTTTATAAACAAATACAAAGTGCCCGTACAATTGCTTTAAGTTTAAACTTATAAAAGTTTGGTCGTTATAAACCTAGTCTCGAGTTTTTAAAAATCCTAGCAACCGATCCCCCTTTGCTTTACATTTTTACATTCACTGCAGTTACCAGAGATTAGGGCCCATATAATGCATATATAATGTTATCGTAAAATTTCCAACCAACCAAACTGCTGACTTGAAAACGTTTCGGGAAATCCGCATCCCTTTTACAAAATAGTTTCTAGTTTGCAACAATAATTTGTAAAGTGTGAAGCTATTGTTTATAGTTTTTTTAATGCTGTACAAAATAACCCTTGTGCAAACTGAGGATGCAAATGTGTAAGGTAGTACATATAAATTTATAAAAGTCACATTAGGAATTTTACTAATAAATAAAAAGAAGTTGAAAAATAAAACATTTTATTCTGAAAAAAAATTCAATAAAATGTATACATAAACAAATCAAATATAGTGATAAATGATAAATTGTTCATTTGCATATATGTCTGTACTGCATACATTTAAACAATTTCGTTCGAAATAAGTAAATAAGTATAAAATAGAAGTAACTCCCCGATTTAGATAACTGTAGAAAACAAACAGAAAAAATACATTAATCTTATATATACATACATAAATGCAACAAGAGCCATCGCCAAGTGGTGGCCACGCTCGACTATTTGTTATTTCTAACTTAAAACATCAGAGTGAAAATATTGCAATAAAGAATAATAAAATAAAATTTTCATATTTGATCTTAACAGTATAGGTCATTCACAGATCAAGGTCATATGTACATTATTCTACATGTCGGTGTTGTCGCAAGTATTGTTGTGTCTCAGTATGAATCAAATATGTCCATTATAGGTAGTACCAATCAAAATTCATGTTGTATAAACACTTAACCATGATGGTCAATGTCACTTTGAGGTCAAGGTAAAACTTGATTAATGCAACATTTCAGTTGTTTTTTTTTTTTGTTTTATTTTGTTCAAGTATACATTGAAACTGTAAAAAAACATGATAAAAATAATAAATACATAAAATTATCACAATTAACCCTTTCCCCCATGAGCATATTGTGAAAAATGGCCGTTTTCACTGAAAAGCCTCCTCTTACAAGTTCAAACTGCTATGAAACTATGAAAAATGCTTCAATACTAATCAAACTTGGCACAAATGTTGACTGGACCATTGCCTTTGTAACGACATGCTCAGTCTTAAATTTCCTGTTACCATGGCAACGAGGGGACATCTCAAAATTGTCAAAAATCACTATTTTGCCTCGATTTTTTCCATCAAAATTTATTTCAAAGTGCTGCAACTTCTCAAGGGATTGAGACAGAGTCAAAAGCTTTTCAGCGTTGGTTACACGTTACATTATGATCGACCTGGGGTCATTTTTAGCCTCTCACAAGTCCAAAATTTTCTTGGCGATGAGGGGGACTCCGCCCCCCTTCAAACCCCCCTAGCAGAAGGGGGCACATCCCCCTTCTGCCAACCACCTGATGTATCTTTTGGATGGGGGCGGCGCCGAAAAAGTGCTCAATTTTTTTAGCAACATTTCTCAAACAAAAACATGTGTTTGGAGCCTAAATAGGACATTTTTTCACTATTTGAGGCCTAAAAAAGGGGGGGGTCGAAAGTGCGTTGTTTCGCGTATATATGAGGTAAAGGGTTAAGGCAAGAATCACTAATTTGACCTTAACAGACAAGATCATTTTAAGGTCAAGGTTTTATTTGTATAGTTCAACAAATCTGTTGTGTCATATTCGCCATTTTGTTAAAATATGAATATATTTTGTTAACATATGAATATATTTCGTGGAATCTAAATAAATAACAACGTTATGGCAACTTGAACTACATGTACTAATTAGATATTGCATGTTCAGGTCATTTTAGGGTCAGGGTCATTTTTGAATTATAGAATATGTCGGGATTTTTCACATAAAAGTTCTTTTATCCAAGTATAGATTATATAATAACACATCAAATTGACAATCATAATTAAATTCACAAATATGACCTTGACGGTCAATGTCATTTAAAGATCGAGGTCATATTTGAGATATACATCGTATCAATTTTGTCATAAGTGTTCTTCTGTAAATCTTCAAATTAATAATAAAAGTAATGACAACTTAAACAATATACAATAATCTGACCTTGACGGTCACTCATGCAAAGGCCAATGTCATTAAATGCCGCGAAATTATTTCCTCCCGATGTCTTTAACAATGCTTTCACCGGCGATTCACGATTTATTTGTTGTGATTACTAACTGTAACCTTTGCCTCATGTTACTCCAAGGAAAACCGAATATTAATGTTCCTCACTATTCCTGACCCCGTTTCATTCAAGACGCAGAAACTTAAAAGTATCTAATTGTCTCCCGTGGCGAAATAATTCTAGCTGCAAAAGAAAAAGAAATAAAGTTGGTGTGTGTTCAATATTGTGTACATTTTGTATTATATTAAAATCACCGAATCACAAGTAAACTGTATAAAATGTTCTATTATTGTTTCTTTATTTTAATCTTTCATAATTTATTTGGAAGTTTTTGCATGATCGTCTTCAGATTCTGTTTTATATATGTATATCGTATGTAGACTTTAATAAACTTATCTAACTTTAAATGTGTGTAATATACTGCTATTAATAGGTTCGACCAAAGACAATAAGTTACCAATTACTAGTAACAACCGATCATAAATTTTTATAGTTTCAAGTTGAATTGCATTTCTAACCCGACTTTAATTTTAACCACAATCGTAGCTAAAATTGTTTCAAAGTCAATTTACTCTCAGTCATAAACAATTCACCACACCTAACCATTAACCTTGAAACTATTTAAATTGAAACTTTTAAAGATGTTATAAACAAGTCGTAAAAAGTTGCATTCCTGCACTCGTGGTACAATTACTTCTCAAATTTTAAAGTTTCGTTATAAACAAGAGCTGTCTGTTGGACAACGCGCTCGACTATTCTAATTGCTTGACAGTAAGAAAAGGGACATAACACTGTAAAAATGCAACCCATAGTTATTGGACATGTGTTTAAAGTTCATAGTTCTACTTCATCGCCTAAAACTGAAATTGTTTTAATTATATTATTAATGCAGCCACTGATTGTAAGAATAAAAGATAATAAAATACCTTTCGTGTGACGTAATTCTGCTTGCAAATCCCGAATCTTGTCTTGATTTCTTCTCAAACCTTGATGTAAATTTGCGTTTTCTAGAACCATACTTGTGTAAGTCATTATAACTGTGGCAAGTTGATCTAAATTTTAAAATAAAAAATATCAATTTATCCTTAATTTCAATGATAAGTGTTGACCTTCAGAACCTGCTAATTTTGTGTAAAGGATTAACCCAGCTTTGAGTTTAGAACATCCGTGCAGTCTGACGAGACTCTGCTGACGGTTATAGCTTTATTTTCGGTTATGTTTTTGTTATATACACGCATGTTGGAATCCCTTGTACTTCAAATGGTTTCTTCCATTTTCAAAGCAGGGCGAATCCATTCAGAAAATCTCGCAGGTTAAATGGTACGTCTGGATAATGATACAAAATATGGTCTAAAGAAATTCTTGAAGAATATTTATTTGATTAAAATCATGTCTACTGAGTAATTTCTTCAGAAAAAGTCTGTTAATGCGTCAGTCTGACTCAATTAGTCCCTAAATAACGCTACATGTAAGAAATATAAGTAGATCTGAACTTTTGTCTGATTGGTTAAAGCGTGTTAATGAATGTGATTAGTTTACTCGTTGGTAATTATAAATAAATTACTCGGAGTACCTCGGTTACTGAATCAAGTACACGTGACTTCCTCGAGTAAGTGATTGCAACCAGTACTCAACATTTACTCGAATCCTGCAATTCAGTCCGAGTAGACCCTGTTTTAGAGTCAAGTTATTGAAATTTTTGTGATAAAACTCATTTTAAATTGTAGATATTACAAATCATGTAAATTTCACCTCCAATTGCCTGTTGCTGACAAAGTTCGTTCGTAACGGATTCGAGTCGAGTCTGTAACAAAATCTCCATCTTGTCTGTAATATCATGTCTAGAACGATAATCCCTGTCTGGAAGTATATTTATACATGTAAATACATATATTAAAATGTTCACAACGCAGGCAGTGTAGGTATATGTTTTATTTGCGGTTCATTTTTGTAAAAATCGTTAAAAACTTTACGGGGAAAAACTTCTCCGAAGAAATACATTTATTAGTTGTTTTTTTATTACTGCAAAATCATTATTATTCGTGGTTTACTAATTTTCATCGTTTGTTTGAATGAGTCAATCCACGAATTTAAAATCCAACGAAATTTTCATTTTGTCTGCTGTAGGATTATTTTGCATCATATTTACATTTTACCATATGGAAAAATAGACAGTCCACGAATTTAACAACCCACGAAAAGTGTCTGTGTGACACGACCACGAAATTTCATGCTCACGAAATTAAGTGAATTAACAGTTCTACCGGTATTGTGGCTCTTACTTTTTCATCTATCATCCACCGTAATAGCATTGTTGAATTATTTTTCGTATTATTAGATTCTATTATTTTTATTATTATTATTATGATTATGTTTATTATTATTATTGTTATTATTATTACACATTTAATTTATAGCTTCTTCAAAAAGATTGTACCATAAAAATATTGAAGCTGCTGGACCGCCCGACAAAGATTCCCTCCAGTTAACACCTCCAGTTGATTTATGGGTATAGTAACCCGTCTAAGATTAGCGATTTCATCTGGAAAAGATATTACAAGATATAAAATAAAGCTCAATTATTTAAAATTACATCACTATTATAATTAAACTTGGGAAGAATTTTAGACTTCCTTAAGTATTTTTGTTCTAAATATTTAAATATTTACCACGCAAATACTATAAAGAATTTGAAAGTGGTTTATTTGTAACATATATTAATATTCTTCTAAAAATAGTTAACAATATGCAGAGATTAATCATTTTACTTAAGAAAAGAAAACAATGAAAACTCTCATGGAGTATTGCTTAGGGAGTTATCCTCGTATTGTGAGTAGTGATGAGTAAAGAGTGATATGTGGGTAATATCTAGTGAATAAATTGGCAATTCTCAAGAGTGAGTAGTGCTCAGTGAGTTATGTGAGTAAAGAGTTGGGTGTGAGTAATATCTAGTGAATAAATTGACAGTTCTCAAGAGTGAGTAGCGTTCATTTAGTACTGAGGATAGTGCTCACGTGATAAAAATTGAGAAGTAATCAGCAAATTATTTTCTTACCATTTAACGTCCCAATATGATTCATAAGCTGCTCCGTTTCCTTATGTTTTTCTTGTAAATGTCCTAAATTCAAAGGAAATATCAAATATATTATCTGTTAATTCAATTTTTATAATGTTTAAGAAATAGTACTACAAAACCATGAAAAAGTTATTTTAAAAAAAAATCACCTATAAAACCATAAGAAGAACAAAGGTAGATGAATTAGAAATAATGTGAATTTTATATATGGGCTGCTCATGAGAAAACCAACATAGTGCAAAAATTTGACATTTTTACTTTTTACAATTTATGGAAATACGATAATTTCCACTTACTAATGTACAATTTTTATATCTTTTATATATTTAAAAGGTTTATATTATAGATATTAGTTCAAAATCGACAGTTATATAGCCATTGACGTCATGATATCATAAGAAGAACGTAACGTCAAAACGTCAAAATAAGGTAAACGAAGTGGCGTAAAGGAAATAAAAAGTGCTATAAACACTGCAAAATAGTAAATTTATCATAATTTGTACATAATTTGTATACGTTTATCTATCGCGTTCTACAAGAAAGAAAGAAAGAAAGAAAGAAAGAAAAGTTCGCTTGATGTGTGTGTAAAAGATTACAGGCGTACTGAAATTTAAAGATCCTGTAACACAATTTTTTTATGGTTTTATATCATAAATATGATGCTCAAATTAAAATTTATCAATTTTGCAAGTTCCAAAAAGCATTATTTATAAAGATATTACCGAATTTAACATTTCGTGTAAATAAAGGGAGGTAATAAAAAATAATTTTCTATAAAGTCTAAGTCAATTTTTTCAATAAGAAATAAATGCATATATTTTAATGATAACATATTATATAAACAAATATTTGCAGTACAAATTTTACATTTTCTTCGATGTTTGAAAATTGTTTTATAGCATAAATACATGTATATACATACATATATATAATTTCACTTAGGTGGGGTATGCAACTTCAAATACAACGTACAGGGCCTTTAAGTTAACGCTGTAGAGAAATTTCATCTCCAGTTAAATGTATAAAAGCATAATATTTAAGTGAAGTCATGCATGTTTGAAATACGAAACGTTTTTCTTTCTTTCTGTATATGTTCAAATTTTGCTTGTTTTATTGCTTTACGCAACATCCTCGTACGGGCTAGCCTTCTTGTCTAGCAAAGTAAATTCAAGGTTATTCATTGAAATAACATTTTTGTTGATATATAGATGGTCCATTAAAGTGCAAACTTTATAAACTGTCGTATTTATCACATACCCAAAATAAAGACCATTTAAAGTCATATAATGCGTTAATATACCATTACAAAAACACAATTAACCATGATTACGTGTTGACTATAATATGAGCTTAAGAAGACTGGGCTGAACACCCCTGTAGTGAATAAAAAAGCAGGTAAAGGTCATATTGCGACTTTCCAGCTTTACTGATGGAGGAAGACCTTGTATGTGCCCTTCCGTGCATTATTTAGGCACGGTCGGGTACCTGATTAGAACCACAGATGTTCCAGAAGCTTGCTGTATAGCTTTCTCACATGAGAGAATATAATATAGGATATGAGATCAAAGCTTTAGCTTATATATGTCTTTTCTTTTTTATCAACAACCAACCTGTTAATTTTGTCACTTCATTTCTGAGTTCTTCTATGACTTTGTCTTTGCTCGGCACAATATTTTCCCGGTAGATTCGAAGTTCCTTTGCCTGTGTACAACATAATGTTTTAAACTGTTGCAGATTTTCAATTTCGCCCTTGAGATAACGTACTTCTTGCTTAGCGTCATAAAGCTCAGCTACAAAAAAAAGAATAAGTATTTTTTAAGCTCAAGGCATAACATGACATACCAATAATATCTCCCATTTCAGTAATTATTATCTATCACACACTCGTGAAAACTCGGTATATATCGCCTATTTCCGTGACTTACATAGATCAACTAAACGTCGCAAAGACCCGGAGCAACAATAAAAAGGTCCGAACCTATCATATACGGAGAAAGACGAAGGTACTCGAAATCATACGAACTTTTCGGGAATATTTCAAATCTGGTTAAATAAAAATGGAATTCTAAGACAAAATTAATCGAGACAAAATTCATTTTATTCTTATCTTCATTCATTGAAAATGTTGTTTTTCCCCTCTTTTTTAACAAAATAGAAACTTCTTTCCCAGGAGGCAGTTAAAAAAAATCTAAAACATGTATTATGATGTGACATAAACAAACATTAACCCAAAACCAGCTGGCACCGAAAGTAAAAAGCCTTTGTCATTAGTAGATCTATAAACTATAAAGCCGGGCCAGGATGTGCATAAGTGGATTCAGACGAGTCTCTTGACTATTAATTGGCTGACCAATTTCAAATTTTCATTTTGATATCCCCAAAATTTATAAAAGAGTGCACACAAATAAACTTTACAAATTCGGTTAAATAGTCCATACAATGTCCGACAATCGTAACTTTTCGCTACTTTTGCTTGTCTTTGGTATGGATAATCGGCGAGATGTCCCGAACAGTTGTAACCCTGACGACTATAAATTACCTTGAAGTCTTTGATTTTGGCTTTGCTCTTCTTCAATCTCTTCCTGTTTCTTAATGACTTCTTGAGTAAGGTTCATGTCGTAATCTTAAATAATAATAATTATTATTATCATTGTATCATTGTAATAATGATGAAAATAATGACAATTATAAACAAAATGATGAAGATCCTGTTGATGACAATGATGATCACAATAATGAGTATGACGACATATAAACTATTTTCAAACAATTTAATTTGTTTATTTGCTCATCACTAACAAAAAAGTACATGTTTTCGAACCATATAGAAGCAATTGTAATTTATTTAAAGTTTAGAAATACCGCCCGGCTTGTTGACGGACTATTTTTTGTTTTTGTTTCAAGTCACATCACACTGTATAGGTCACACGGTGACTTTCCAGCTTAACTAGACAGTAGAGGAAGATCTCGGGCGCCCCTTCGTGCATTATTTCAGGCACGATCGGACCCCTTAGCTGACCTTCCGTAGGCAAGTTGGGTCGCTTCCTAACATGAAAGGACAGGTTTCAAACTTGTTGTTGCGTTGTTGACTTAGTACACCACTATTGTTTTGTTATTGTCGTTTTTCATATATTTGGGTTTTCAGTTTTATTTTTATTTCCGAGTTTGAATAAGCAAAAATACATTTTTCAAATTTACAAACATATCTAAGATTGTTTTCATTGTCAGAATAAACAATAGTTACAACAGAAAAAAAACATTTAGAGAGAAATGAATAAGTAAGTTTTTCAGGTATTTATCCCCTGAATCATGAAATAAGAAAAAAGAAATAACTCTAAAAATTGATTGAAATTAAGATCGTGTAATATTCATAATTTGAAGATCATATATTACCTTCCAGTTGTTCAATAGTTAGGTAATGTGATCTTAGGATATTCTCACTGGCTTTTTCCATTTCTACGATGTGATGTGAACTGATAGTTATGCCACAGACATTACACAGCTCATCTAGATCGGCTTTTCTTTGACTGAAACAATGTGAACACATGCACAGCCCGCATTCAGTAACTGTGGCTCCTCCAAGCTCTGTCCGAAATATCGGACATTTCATGGGTGATATTTCGTCACTGCCAAACTCAATCTGTAATAGAAATATCATTACGCTCATACTTATGTCTGAAATTCTAAAAGCGAAAAAGACATGCCACTAGTGCAGATAAGGTCTGGCCTACACGTCTTTGCCGTCCGACCAAGTTCGAAACTGTTGGATACGTAGTTTTAGCACTTCGGTATGAAAATAATGGACTTTCAAAAAGCCAAACCAGACCAGTTCATTACACAAAAATATCCGGCTCTATCGAGGCCATTTTAATTTTAAAAGTTATATAATATTTTCAAACTAAAAGCAACACAAATCACTAACTATGGTACAGGCGATTTATATAATAACTATATAACGTTCCTGGCAGGATACAGGTAAACATTTATACACTTGTATTCTAAAATTATCTTTGCAATGGCAACGACTAGCATTTTGTATTAAATATATGAAAAGGCTATATAAACAAGAAAAATATTACATACATTCGTATGTAATATAGGTACGATTGCATACTTCTTTTGTGAAGACTTAAGGTTTGCTGCATGAAAGGTGTAATGTAAAATGAACAGGTCATGAGATATAGCAACGGACCTATTCCTGTTTTTTTTTGGTGTGTGTAATGTGTATTTTATAACACTTGCAACAATCAATACCAAATGGTTTCTATTGCATTTCTATAGTGCTAACAGGTTATAATACTGTTTAGAGATACCATAATATAATAAAAAGTGGAGATGAAAGACCAGGGTTTTGAGGGTGAAACGTTACAGGGATGGTGAAACATCCAGGAGATGTAAAGTCCCAAACACCTAAGAAGAACTAAAACACAGTGTCCCATTTATTATTATTTATTTTTAATCTTATTCTGACAAACATTATGTGACCAAAGATTAAAGTTTAAATACAACAGTAAAATTAAATATGAAACTTAAGTGTAACAAATAAAAGGGTAGTTGTACCAAAATAAAGGATATATTACACAAATAAAACATAAAGGCAGCTAGCAAACCGTTGAATATTTTTTTAAAAATTTATTATTAAAGTTTTCACATCATTTAACTTTGGCAAAAATACAGCTTAACAAAGCACAGAGATAAATTTAATTTTCAATAAAATTTTACAATGTCTTTTTAAATTTACTTTTAAAAAAAAATCTTTTCATTTAAAAGATTATTACATAAGTTCTGTACAATTGAAGCTAGTGATAGAAAACCCCATGTTAAATTTTAGCAGAAAAACTCTCAGTATTTTTGCCTGTATGTTATTGTTTTGATCAAGTTGTTAATTTCCATATAATATAATATATATATATATATCTATCTGCTGTATAACTGGTTTACTTAATACCTAAACAATTAGAAACAAGAACTGTAGGTAGGGAAGCAATGCTGGACTATTATTAGTGCTTGACAGTAAAAAGGCCTCGATAAATGTAAAATTTTCTTAGTTAACAAGGGAATAATTTTCCTTTAAAACCATGTTACAGTACGCCTTGAAGAGAGTCCTATTATGCTCTCAAAGAAGAGTATAAAATTTCAACTTGTTTCAAAGCTAAATGTCAATAGAATTTGAAAATATCTGAGGTAATATGCAAAGTTAAATGTAAATTCTAAGTCGAAAAAAAGGGGCATAATTCTGTCAAAATGCCTTAGTACAGTTACCTGCTCCTGTCTACAGGTAAGGGTCATGCTGGTGAATAAGTGCACAAAGTTTCAAAGCCATATGTGAATGGACTTTGAAAATATTTTGAGGTATTACAAAAACTTTTAACGTAAATACTAAGTAAAAAAATTATTCTAAAATGCTTGATACAGTCACCTCCTCCTGTCTACAGGTTGGAATCATGATGGCGAACAATTGTGGGAAATTTTCAAAGCCAAATATGGCAATGGACTTTGAAAATATTTGAGGTATATCGTAAAAACTTTTGACATAAGTTGTTACGTATCACACCGACGTTTGGGTGACTACAAAAGCTCTACTTATTTTAATCGAACAGTCAAGCTAAAATCAATCAGTGTTGCCAAGCAGCCACAATATATTCCATAAATTTTTGTTTTAAAATTTAACAAATTTTAAGTGCACAACTGGCTATTTGAATGAACCAGAACTTCACGAGTCGGATATGTCGCCTTGTGAACAATGTAGTTAAGGAGAAAATGGCCAGAAACAAGAAAAAATAACAAAGGGCAATAACTCAAAAATAAGAAGTGCAGAGCAGCATTTTCTTTGCACTATACTTCTTTATCAATAAGATATATCATCCTATGAAGTTTTCAAGTCCATAACTCTTATAATTTTATTTGAAAAAATTAATAAAGGGCAATAACTAAAATAAGAAATGCAGATTATTGGTTCTTGTACAATGCACATTTTTTTTATTGAGATCTATCATCCTATGAAGTTTCATGTCCATAGCTTTTGTAGCTTTAGGAGTAACTAGAACTATCGCTGAATGCGATTCATACCCCCACCAATGTCCTTGACAGAAGACAACTTGGAAAGGTGGTTGAGGGAATAACTTAAGTGGCACAAATACATAAAAAGAAATTATCTCTGGTGAAAAAAAGACTAATTGTACAGGTAATAGTAAAAATATCTATTATCAAATAGTCGTGTTTCATGTTCGAAACAGTTACAAATAAACCTTTCATTTTCCCAATATACTAAACTTTTATAAGTCAATTTTTGACCTTCAAGTGTGGCCTTGACCTTCAGCTGGCACAAGGGTATGATGGGTTCTGCACATCGCCCAATTGGAGAGAACATTTGAGTAAAGTTTGAAGAAAATCCTTCCATTAGTATAGAATTTATAGAGCGGACACAACATATTGTCTAGTATTGATTGTATGTAAATTTAAGAGACTTAAAAAGGGGGATAACTTTGTCAAAATGCAATACAGAGTTATGAAACTTGACCCTGCATATCGTAATTGTGACACCTCATATATTCTTTTAAGTTTCAAGCAAATCCTATGCTAGTTTCCGAAATAATTTCAAGAACATGTTTTAATCTAAGAACATTTTCTAAGTCAATTTTTGACCTTCAAAGTCTGACTTTTGACCTTTAGCCTGCACAAAGGTGACATGGATTCTGCACATAAACCTTGTTTTTAGGTGAACATTTGAGAAAAGTTTTGAAGAAAAATTCTTCCATTAGTAAAGGATTTATAGAGCGGACACAACATATTGTCTAAATATGATTGTAATGTAAATTTGAAGATTAAAAAAGGGGCACAACTTTGTTAAAATGCAATACAGGAGTTATGAAAACTTGACCAGCATATCTTAGTTGTTTGACACCTCATTTATATTTTAAGTTTCAAGCAAAATACCTTTTCTAGATTCAGAAATATTCAGATATATGTTAAAATTAAAGAACATTTTCTAAGTTAATTTTTGACCTTCAAGTGCTGACCTTGACCTTAAACCGGCAAAAAGAGTGACATAGGTTTCTGCACATAACCTTGTTGAGGTGAACATTTGAGCCAAGTTTGAAGAAAATCTTTCAATAAGTGTAGGACTTACAGAGTGGACACGACATACTGTGTAATATTTGATTGTTTGATATTTGACCTTCAATTGTGACCTTGACCTTGAGCTGACACATGGGCAACATGGGTTCTGCACATCCCATTGTTGAAATGAACATTTTGAGCCAAGTTTGAAGAAAATCTTTCAATTAGTGTAGGACTTACAGAGCGGACACGACATATTGTTGTAAATATTTGATTGTTTGATATTTTGACCTTCAATTGTGACCTTGACCTTAAAATGACACATGGGCAACATGAGTTCTGCACATTCCCTTGTTGAGGTGAACATTTTAGCCAAGTTTGAAGAAAATCTTTCAATTATTGTAGGATCTACAGAGCGGACACGACATACTGTCTAATATATGATTGTGTTTGATATTTGACCTTCAATTGTGACCTTGAACCTTGAACCTGACACATGGGCAACATGGGTTCTGCCAACATCCCCTTGCTTGAGGTGAACATTTGAGCCAAGTTTGAAGAAAATCCTTCAAGTGGTATAGGAGTTTTATAGAGCGGACACGAAAATGGAGACGGACGGACGACTGACCGACGCGACAAAGCGAATCCATTATAGCCCCCCCCACATTTTTGTGGTGGGGGTATAATGACCTGGACAAAAGTAAAATATGAAAATTAAACAAAGGACCATAACTCAAAAATTATGAAGTTCAAAGTACCAGTCCTTGTGCAATGCACTTTTTCTAAATGAGATCTATCATTCTATGAAGTTTAAGTCCATAGGTTTTATAGTTTTGAAGAGAAATGGCCCAGAACAAAATTTGAAGTATGAAAATTAAACAAACGGCAATTACTCAAAAAATAAGAAGTTCACAGTACCAATTCTTTTGCACTGCACTGCACTTCGAGTTAATCATATATTATTTTGTTATAAATTTCTAAATTTCCAAATTTTCAGGCATGCAGGAGATTTAAGTTCTGAAAGAGTTACAATGATATCAAACATACAGAGTCTTTTTAATATTAATATGTTCTTCCTGTTAAAAATCCTTTTTAACTGAAGGAAATTTTTAGTTGCCTAGCTACCATGCAAATTTTCTTTGATTTTGATGCTTCTGTTCAGGATTAATGCAAAATTTTTACCAAGTCATTCTACACTAATATTCAACATATAAAAAATTCACTCATCTATCATTGTCATAGATAAAATAGTTTTCATATCCTAAAAGTATAAAAATATTTAAAAAAACTTGACAGCAAGTACTGAAGCTTATCACTTCACATTTAATGCAGTCATTTTCAATGAGAATATAGTCACACAAAACAACTAAAACTGTTTTATTTATCTTGAAATCAATACTTTAAAAAACTTTATAAAGACAGGATTACAGTTGATCAAATTCATGAAATGCATATGTTCAATGCAATTCTATACTTAAAGTGACATGACAAATGTTGTATTACACAAAACACAATCACATGAAAAGTTTTTAACATTATGGGAAGTAAGTTACTGGTAAGCTGACATAGGCAACCATTAAA